AAAAGTGATGTTCTTATCTTTTTTCTTTTTTCCAAGAGTAATTTTTACATGATTTCACAGCACAAACAGTCATTTTCCGAAATTAAAAACACTGGTGCGTGATGTATGTTCGCAGTAAACGTCGCTGGCATAATGGCGGAACGATCGAACGAATACGCCAATATTGGCGCCTTTTAAATGGAAGCATTTTAGGCGCGCGTACACGGTATCTGTACCTATAAAACATCTTTGTTAAATTCATTAAATGTACAAGTTATAAGTTTATCTTCAGTAATTATTGTTTACCTATTTACTTGCTAATTAAGTTTTGGGAGCGGTGCTGAAGCTTTTTAAAATAACTAAATATGGCTCGATGACATTTATTACTATTACATTATTACATTACAATAATGTATTAAAACTATTTCAGTGCAATACTGACATCTTTAACTAAGTGATTACAAAACTATGATGAGAATTATAATAAATTATTTATCAATACTTGTACTAAAAGCAAGGGCTTTTATAAGATGGCCAAAATAAGTCTGTTGACTGAAAGTACGAGGATGACACTTTGGTTTAACCAGCAATAACAATTATACAGCGGAGTCAGCGTCTTCTGTAACATATTTTCAGTAATCCAATATCAAAATTCACAATTCATGGTCAACATGTTATTGTAAAATTATGGCTACTTGCAATTGAAGCCGCTTTAGTGCAGGCCCGGCTTTTGAAGTCTCTCCATACCTACAAAATAAATAATTATGCATTTTAAGTAAATATTAGGTACACTGGCGCTGCATAATGTGCTGGCCGATTTATGTATAGTAGTAAATCAGAAAAATTCTCTTAACTGTTATCCACTGCTTAGGCGTCTTGACGGATCCGTTGGGAAGCTGGTTGAGCTCGTCGGCAACTTCCCTCCAGCCGTTTTAAAAAATTATACTTTTCGGGTTGTACTTACTTAACGCAGCTCGAAACCGGGCCTGCGCCTGCGTCACTGTCCCCCACCATTGAAAATATTATATAAACTATATTTTTAATAAAATATATGATATTTTTCATAAAATGTGTAACATAAACTAACTAGATGATATGTAGGTAATGTCAACGTTGTCAAATCGAAACAGACATGTAATAGTCTTACAAGGAAGCAAACTTTTATGTCCTTTGATATTTAACAAGTTAGTTCAATTCTTAGAAACGGTAAAAGCTACTTGTAAGTTACATACAAAATATTTTTATAAGAAAAGGTTTCTTCTATTTCTATACAATTTTCAAAGAAAAGCTATTATTTTTATAAAATTATGTCTGCAAATTTTCCCTATTATTTTTTAACAGCCAACATTTTTTTAAGAAAACCCGCACTATGAATACGTTTTTCGTTAGCGTAACAACAACGTAAAGTAAAGATAATTAACGATCTTGTACGGAATTTCGGCTGTAGAGACTTGCATTAATCGTAAGCATCGTTACAGCAAGCAATTTTTGTTGTTATTATTTTTTAACGATCGGTAGTTTGCGATGGAGTCGCTATCTATGCGACGAGACTGCAGCCGCAGGATTCATTTACAACACTATTAGAAAGTGAGTGTACCTAATACCCTTTTACGTCACTTGTATCGAAATTGCCCCGTTTTTTTTTAATTTATATTTTTCGTAATCATTTATGATGGTTTTGTACCAAATATTTTTACTAATCTATCTTGAAAAATTGAAAGTCAGATTCTACCGAACAAGTCAGAATAGAGCAACATAGCACGTGCAAGGTGCACGAGAGCTTATTGGGAAATGTAGAGATAATACTATGAAGTTCAATTATTAATCAAAGATGATTAGAGATGCAACCGATATCCGGTTAATTTCAGTATCCGGCCTCTTTGGTAATTTTTTTACTGATCGGTATCTGGTTGATTACTTAATAAAAAAAATAAAAAACATAGATACAAAATGCAGTTATTATCTACAAAAAAAAACTGTTACTAGAAACTATAAAATAAATTAAACCCAACTCTTCTTTGTTCTATTATTTGTTGACGGGACCACTCATCTTTATAGATATACATCAAATCCTAGGTTATGTGTTTTGAATCCCTGGTTACGGATTACGGTTGTGCACTAAGTGGTAAGTCATCTCTGCTATTTTAATATTTGTATTATATTAATATAGTTTTCTCGGCTGGTCCATTATAAAATGTCGTTAAATATCGTGGTGTCACAGTCACTTTGAATTAAAATGATAGAGACACATTCACATATCCAAATACTTAAACGCTGCTCAATTATAAGATTTTGTTATGTCTCGTGGTGTCACTGTCACTTTGACTTAAAGTGATAGAGACAGCACGAGATTTAACGCATCTTAAAATTGAGTAGTGTTTGAGTATTTGAGCCCACGACTACACAGTTCGGGCTGTGTAGTCGTTGATTTGAGCATATATATAGTAAAATAAATAAATAGATACTACAACTGACTTCAATATAAATAAAATGCGAACATCACAAATCTAGCCAAAGTAAATTAAATACATTGTTAACGATAACTCAAAAACTACTCATACTACATATACTACATGGGAAGCATCATTCAGATAAAATAATAACTATCAAAATCGGTTGACCTAGAAAAAATAGCGTCATAGTGCCAATGTGCATCGTATTGTTATTGACGAAAACCGGAAACTCTTTTCGAATACATATATATATATAATACGCAATTATTTTAGAATTGTGTACTAGTTTTTAACACATACTTGTATAAAAACGGAATGTGTACGAGTATGTACTGTGCATGCACCCGCTGGGCTCGAGCTACTGCTATGCAATGGGATCCGAGGCAGCGCTTAAGTTATTCGAAATATGTACTTAGACAATTAATTATTTACTCCGCAGGAAAGACTTAACAAGAGTACTTGATCGACTTTATACGAGGTGACGTTTTTATATTTAAAACAATCCTTAATATTCTATACATTTTTTTATTTATAGATTAAGGGTAACAAACGAGCACACAGTCCACCTGATGGTAAATGGATGCTGTGGCTCATAGATATCTATATTTATCCTCAATTAAGAGTTTAAACGCAGATGCGTTATCACCACTGAGGACTAAGATGGAATGCCTCGTTTCCAGTAAAAAAGAGACTCCGGATCTCTACACTCACCATACGAAACACAGCAGTATTAAGCTGCTATTTAACGCTGGTATTCTGTGAAAGCGTGGTCCTTCCTCGGTCGAACCGACCCATTCGTGCTACAACCATAATATAGCTGCATCGTGGCTTACTACGTATAATATTTGTTATATATTGCCTACTTTTTTAAATATATAAAGATATTTATTTTTAAACGGTTCTTATTTTCTAATGTAAGATATGCATGCATGAGGCGATATGGTACGGAATTAGTCACGTTACTTATATTATGCGAGGCGCTGAAACAATTTGGTCGGGATGTGCCAAGCATGTATTTACTCATGGACATGTCAATACCACAGCTATGAAATGCTACGCGTTAATCGACCACGTAGCACTATAATTATTGTTATAATTCAAGTATTTACTAATATATTATATTAAAGGACTGACTGCCCCGTTAGTCTAGTAGTTTTAAACGCGACTGCAACTGAGGTCACAGGTTCGAACGGGAACGGGAATGAGAACACGGGCTCGGGCCAAAAAAACAGTTATTGAGTTTTGTGATCGAGAAATTCGCAGTAGCTGCCCTCAGTCAAGAAATTGGCGGTGTCTCACCCCCGTACCTTTGAAAGCACTTGATCTCTCTCCGGTCGTGTCGGTTTACCATCACATTGGACTATGAGAGTGAGGGTATAGAGATTGCAACTGTGCTTGCGCATACGCTTGGGCACTATATTCTTGTCCAGCGCCGATGACTGGTCGCCGTTGAGGCAGGCCGCCGTTACCGACCGACTTCCCGTAAAGTAAAGTAAAGTTACAGCCTATATACGTCCCACTGCTGGGCACAGGCCTTCCTCTCATTTCTGAGAGGGTTTTAGGGCAAGGAAGGGTCCGCCGCGCTGCCACAATGCGTAAATGCGTGTTGGCGAACTTCATATGTCTTCGAAATATTTTTCCTTATTCCTCAGACATGCAGGTTTCCTCACGATGTTTTCCTTCACCGCCGAGCACGTAATAAATCAGCACTTAAAATTGCAATTAACAATTTCATTGGTGCCGGCGGGGATCGAACCCGGGTTACTCGCGTTCTGTTATATTTACAGCGAGCGTTAACCATCTGAGCTGCCACGGCTCTCCGTACCGACCTTCTTCGCTGTACCGACTTCCGGTGTGAAGGACATTATATTAAAGGAACAATGAAATTGAATTTGAAATTGAAGTGTTTTTCAATATTGAAATACAGTCATCTACTATTTCTCTTTCTTTATCAGCTCAGTATAGTTCACAGCTGGACATGTGGCTCCGCTCACTCCTGGCAGGCGGATTGACAAACGCAGCACCAGACGCCTTGCACCATTCACTCTTATGCCTGGCCTACAGAGATGATTATACCACCATCGATTGGAAGCACTAATTTATTTCACGTTTCGCTTGGTTTTCTTTCGAATAAAATTTCTTTTTAATAGCGCCATCTATTTCATTCTATAGGTAAAGTCATTTTATCGAACAAAAATTGATTGACTCTCAAGCTGGTACGTAAAATAGACGCTAGATGGCCGGGTACCTCTGTCACCACCCACGAAATGAGCTGATGCATTCTCATAAATTGCCCTCAGTGGTGCACTACTGCTGCTACTGGGTTTTGACGGTTCATCACGTCACTAAAGTAGTTGATGAATGCTGCCGGCTCAGCGACCTTGTATAGTGACAGTCTTTAGGGAAGGTCTGTGTTCAGCAGTGGACTTACTAATGTGCTGTTTTGATGATAATGATGATGTGGTTCTAGAACATTGAGATTCTCAAATATAGCTAACATTGGAGAGCCTAGCTATGTAGACGACACATGTGTTAATTAAATTATCATGAAAAAATATTTCATTCCAGATATCCCCAACGAAGGTCTTGTAAATATCCATAAGAAACGTCGCCTTAACGAAAACAAATTTGGTGAAAGCTCGGAGACCGCTCAAACTCATACGCTATCCTCTACGCCAGAGAAGAAGTATGAAACGCCGCAGCCTGAGACTCCACAAAGTGTTCGGTTCGTGGCAATAACTCTTTAATTTCTATGCTTCTAATTGTTATTGTTTCGTTAACATGTGTTTTTTAAATGTTTGCATTTTAAAACATTTATTAACGCCGTAAAATTAACATCACCTGTAAAAAACTACTGGGGACTTTGAGAGTAAAAAATATGATATTACAAAAACTCAAAATTTCAAATTCAAATTATATATTTGTTTACTTCGAACCTCAGACCTGCAACGGTCAGGTCTGAGCGCTGCGTACATTTTAAGTGTTGCCCGAAACCAAGCTAAAGCCTTGCTCAGCTAATTGTTAGAACTTAGAATGCACTTACGCAAACATACATCTAAAATATTTAGCAACCAACAAGGTTTTAGATTCATATTTATATGTGCGTCCAGTATTGTACTTTCGCGGGCTGTTAAAGAATGAAGAAAGAACTTGTAATTGAAGCAGTGCTCCGTCTATCTTTATTTGTTGGTCTGAACCTCAAAGATAGAGGTTAATTTTATGTTCGAGGCTCCTAAGACCACATAGTAAAGATAATATTTAATTTTTAATATTTTTGATATATCCATCAATCAACAGTCAATCAAACTTTATGTTTTAACATGTAGTAAAATCTAACCATAATCTACTTACTTCTTACTGCGAGGTTATGTCCCTTTATAAACTTGTACGAAATATTAAATGTTATTATATTATTTAAATATCATTCGTTTCTAGGTTTAAACAGATGACCTTTTCTGGAAGTAATTGTAAACGTTATTTAGGCCGCGTTCCGATATACACTGCGAGCACGGCTCAGTGCTCTCACTGTTGAAAAATTCGTTCCTTTATGGACTGCAAATATACTGCCGCAGTAGCCTACGGAAATATATGACATCATAAATCGCCTCCATTTTCGTACTGTGAGCACTGGCGCTTTCGAGGTAAGATTCTCTCAGTACTTTGATCTCGTGATCATAAAACGTAACAGCGCCTATAGATGTTAACAGCTTCCACGAATGATTGTTATTATTATTAATTAATACAAATAAACTCGAATTTTAAGTATTAAAAGCAACAACATTCAAATAATAATTTTTTTTGTTGAACAAAAAACTTGTACATGATAAATATTTTCATTTGAAAATTCAGTGTCGAAAAATGGGGATGACAGTTTACTGGACTTAAAAATGTTAATTGCAGATGTGCATTTTATATTTTTGTAAAAAAATTGATTGAGAGGGACTAAAAATAAGTAATGGCAAACTAAAAAGAAACGGCTTCACAGTATACTGAATTGTCGTCACACCTTACAGTGCTCACAGTGTATATCGGAACACACCCTAATGTTATTCTAAATTTAAAATTGCAGTTATTAAATTATGTGTTCCTACAGCAAAGCAGCACTCATAGTGAGTTAACATTTTTTTTTATTTAAAGGCAAGTTTATGTGCATGTTTCTTTTTACAAAACAAAGTTGCTTTAATTAATTATATCCTAGGTTTTTTGGCGGGAACTTGATCGGTGGCGGATTGCTGCTACTCTATTATTGTATATATAAGAAATGGTTTGAAATGCAATTTAATACGTAAAAGTAGTGTGATTTTGTGTATTAAGTATCTACGCATGTGTTATGTTATGTATGTTATGTAACTATTAATGAAAATGATGAAACAATTGCTCTGATGTTGATACGAATTTCAATAAAATATGTCTGCTTAGGCGCCTTGAGATAGATAGGTACTATGACCATTAAGTCCAAACTTGACTGGAAGCACTATTATTTATTCTGTGCTGGGAGCATTGAGCTATTATGTACTACGTACTAGAGACGACACTGCATTCAGCTACTCTGTTCCACTCAACTGCGGTGCATACACCGCACTTTAATCAGTCACTAGTTAGGCGCTTGTAGAGTTTTTTTTTTTAAATCAACACAACACGTGTGTTAATTAAAAAAAAATCTCTTGATAAAAATTGCCGTCGTGTGTACTTAGATATAGCACAAATAATTCAAGAAATGTCAGTAAAAACCAAGAAATTACTTTTCATCGGTTAATAAGATACTTAATCAATAAATAAGTATTATAGAACAATAATAAAACAAATTATTCCTAAGACGCCATCTTGTGTCATGGAATATAGATTATGAAATTAATATGTTCAGATGGGACATTTCTGTGGGTAATTTCTGTAAGGATAGAACGAATGTATTATTATACACATTTTTTGTAGAAACTTATATAAGTTATTATAATTAGGCAGAATATTTCAGTTTTCAATCTGCTTATTATTCTTTCATTTTATTTTTAGGTTTCCACATCAAAGTCAAAGTGGTATAAATTCGTCAATTTTTAACTCTCGCGTGCCCAGCATTTATGAACGACTCTTATTCTAATTTAAATAAACATATTTGTAATTTAAATGTTACATTAATAAGTTTTCTTAAACATACATTTAGTATGTTTTTTTTTATATTTGACATAGATAACTTTTAAAATATTCAGATAAAAATATCATTAAAATGTAATTGTGATATAATATTATGTAATAGTATATTAAATAAGCAAATATAATATACAAAATAAATGACAAAATTTAAATATTGTTCTCGATATAATTTACAATACAATCTACTATTACCTACGGATCATTCTACGGATCATGCTATGTTTAGTCTATGTTAAAAAAAACAACCGCGCGAACACAGAGTAGCGCACATTTTTGTTTGAGATAGCTGTTCTAGTACGTAAGTACATATTACTTCAATGGCTGGGAGACATAAATTTGAGATATAACTTTGTTTGAATCATCTTAAAACTCTAGAAGTAAATTTGTTTTTAAATCCTGAGCAGCATTAGGAAAAACCAAATATTTTTTAATAAATAAATATGGATAATTAATTTCCAATATATCTGACCTTAAATAGAAATATAAATTAATTAAATAACAAATTAATTATGCTTCCAATATATTTCATTTAAAAAAGGGCCGGTTTATTTTTAAAGCTCATTTAATTGGGTTTTCTTTATCAAAAAAGAAAACTGACATGTCAGCGTTCTTTATGCCGCGACAAGTACGTATATTCAGTTTAGGTATGCATATTTGTCAACACTATTTAAAATTATGTAGGTAGATAGGTAGCGCTGTCGACTAAAATAGGTTTATTGTTTTTTTTTCATTTAAAGGCAAAAGAATACATGCATAAACAGCCTAGTTACAAAATTCTTCTCATTATGTTGGTGCGTTACATTACGAGGTTTTGGGATATTTTAACGATAGCTTAACCAGGTATAATAATGTGATGTCTCAAGGCACCTAAGCGCATAAAACTACAGATCTAGGTCTCTAGGTATCAACGAAGCTTGTTACATCTTTTCAACTAATAGTGGTATGTATCAAAACTGTCGATAGTTAAGTTTCTGTAGTAACTATTTCCAGTATAAACAGCTTAACGTAATATTGATAACATGTCCTTTGTTTGTATATATATTTCCTATACAGCTGTAGTTACTAGTATGTGATTAATTTAGACGATTTTATTACCTGGGCATGAAGGTATATGGACTTCATTCTTACAACTTCTTTATATAGGATTGGAAATATAGTTTATGGAAGTACGCGACAAATTAACTTGGCAATCGGAGGAATTAGGAAGTAATACATATGTACTATGTACGTAGTACTTATACTTTAATGATCCGATAGACAACACCTGCGCTTCCGCATTATGCTTCATGTTGATTAACTTGTTCATGTGTGGCACTGATAATACAAATAAAGTGTTGTGCACGTGTACACGTCGCATTTATCGATATTAGTTATGATATTTTGTCACGTGAAAAATTAACTATTCATGGAAAAACATAACTAGAATTTAGAAAAGAGTAATTTAAAATTTACAAGAACTCAGAACCTCAGTTTCTTTTTGGCTTTAATAAGACATTGCCAAGTACATCTGTCGCAAACAAAATAATAATATTTTATTGTATAGTATAGTAGTATATTAGTAGCTAGCATGCATGTTTAGTCTGACGAATTCGAGATTATTATTTACCAACCCAACAAAATAGTTAATTACCACTTTGACATTTTCTAGGTAAGTAACTTTATTAATAATAATTATGTCATTCTTTTAAATATCTATTAAAGTCATAAAACAAATTATTAAATTAAATTCAAAACGTTTTATAAGTACATTGTTTTTATTCGTACTTACGTTAAAGTCACTGGAATGTAAGATTGCAGCCATTTAATTTTTGTTTATTTTAATTTTTTGTCTATTTTCATTTTTCTTAATAATATTACTTAATCACTTTTGGTTCATTGAATTATAAATTGATACATTGATAGCAGCCCTTCTTTGTCATCATGTCTTGATTTAAAAATCCTACTATAGGTAAATATATTTTGTAGTACTTATTTACACAAACAAAGAAAGAAAATCCCGTTCTAAATATCACAAAAAAAAAATTAAAATCTCGTAAAGAAACTACAAAACGCGGTCTCGGTTTTCTGCAATTTATAATTTATTACATCTTCAGTGTGACCATTTGTGGCAGATTATAATTGTTTTGGTAATCATTTAAACCAACAACTCCTGTCCTAAGTCAATCTCTAGTCTCTACAGGGATTTCCCATTTTAAGTGATCTGTTAGGACTTCATGCATGTAGCACAAGAATAATTTTAAGTATCTATAGATGACTGAAAAATATTTATAGTTAGCAATTTTTTGTTAAAGCATACTTATTTTTGCGGATTTCAAACGTCTCGTGTGAGAGTGAGAGGATTTTCTCACAAGTAAACCTTATTAAAACTACATATTCTTGGATAGAGTTGATAGATATTGGCAGATTTACATTTTCGCGATGGTTACACTGAAAATGTTGCTTCTTATTTTTTCTTAGTTTCACTGACAACAAATTTAATATCCAAGTAAGCCTCAGTATATGGGAAACGTCAATCCTCTTGTTCTTATTAGTTCATGGTATAGTTTTTACGCATGAAGCTTATACGAAAGTAAATATTTTTAAATATAGTTTCACAGCATGTACGTAGATTTAGCTTATACTATTGTCTTAAGGTACCGCTGGTGACGGATAACATTGTCAATTCCAGAAACCTGTACCACCTCGTGGACAACCTCCGTCTCAAGACTTCGATGCTTGTTGATTCCAGTGTCCCCACCATCTACTACGGCGCTAGGACACACAAGCAGTTGCAGCAAGTCGTGAAGGAGTTTGCGAGGACGGATTATTGCGGCGAGATGCTTATGACGATCCTGTCTAGTAGAGACTATAGCTGTATACGAGAGTTCGATCGCCAGACTTGGAGCAGTAAGAACGATATGTGTAGGGCTTGTATTAAGGTAATTGTTTGCCGCTTGGCTTTGAAATATCAGCACTCTATCTTGGAACAAGTTTGGAATTCTTCTTATCGGGGTGTTGATGGCATGACTTAATTTAACTGATCGCTATCTTGGTGATCAGTTAAATTAAGTCACCCAGTGTTAAATATGCTACTCTAAAAACTTCGCCCTATAGAATACCAAACTGTAGGGCTCTTTTTCTGAATTGTCTGGATTGGTACAACTCTGCAGTGCAACCACTACTGTGTTATCATTAGAAGAGTACGAGTTACAGGAATAAATAGGGATTTTATTAGCCTCGTGGACTCTCGTAACGGACTCTCCCGTTACGCAGCTGTTGATGAAAGCCGTGTAAGATAAGAAGGCGCGCCTTGTATTTCGGCGCTTCTTTACTGAAAAGATGCAGAATAGGAGGTATGAACCTCTCCCGAGGAGGATCGCCTTGTCACACAGCGTCACATAGATGCTTTATATATAAAAGAGGGGTGGCTAGAGCTGTTGGGGCCGAGGATGTATGTGAAAGTGATTCCGTAGCCCCGTCAAAATGTGTTAAAAGTGGAGGGGGCTTACATTTATGTATTACTCGCAGGAGCACCGGAGTACCTAATATAACCCTATCTCTCAGCTCGTAAAACTGACAACCGATGGTAAAGCTTTCTGGGGGAATAATGATAATGTGTTTATATATATGATATGTATATGATACAGTATTGGTGTATATTTTTACATTATAGAGCCAAGGTGCAGCTCAAACGTATTGCCTCGATCGAGGAAAGACCACGCTCTTATAGAACACCTGCGTGAAATAGGAGCATAATGATGCTATGTTTTGTATTTTGGTCCAACGCAGGTGCAAATGCCAAAATAAGTTATTGGGTTTTTCTGTCAAACAATTCTCAGTAGTAGCTTGGCCCTGCGCCTGATCTATCTTTGGTCCTGTCAGATTGTACTATTAGGGTGTCCCATCGTACTATTAGGGTGAGAGATAACACAATGCACCTGTGTTTGCGCACACTCTCGTGCACTATTATACTGTTCTGCGCAGATAGCCACTCTCCATTGTGACTGGCTACCGTGACCCAAACGCGGCCTGCAGGATATTATTATATTAATGTATCTACAGCATGGCTATACCACGTATAAACGAATACGAAGAAGAGTACCGGAGACACGTCACTTGTAATGATGCAATCCATATTCGTTCCAGGAATGCAACGCGATCTATCTATCTGCATTTTGATTCTTGAACGAGGATAAATGTGTCTATTGTCCAACAGCATTCACTTGTTATCATGTGGACTGTGTGCTCGTTAGTCTCCTTTATTTCTGTAAAATAATATATGGATAACTTGACTACCTACATCCATATAAGTTACAAGTATACCTACTTACACTGGTGGTTCGGGTTTGAAGGGAGTCAATATAATTAAAAGCTGTGAGACATTTCATCATAGTTCCCAGCGTAGGAAATGCGCCGGTGGCCAAATTTTGTGCGCGTTGGACACCTCCAATTAGGGTTGCCACCCGTACTATAATATATAGTATCGTACTATATTTCAGTCACTTGTACTATATATAATAGAGAAATAATATAGTACGAAAATTACTATATTTTTATCCTTTATTCAACTGTCGCACTTTTTTATATTAACTGTGATTATAAGTCTGAAACAAGTAAGTTTTATGAAAATAATTTTTTTCAACATGAGTGTAAAATGGAAAGATGAAAGAAATAGAGCATGTATTAATCTAATTAAAAATGAACGGATAATTTTATTTTAATGTACACCTAAATTGCTCAGATTCCTATAATTATTTTAAAGGTAATAAATCATTGATAGCGACAGCGAAGACCAGTAACAAATAAATATGGAAAATACATAAAGATTAAAATAAATGTTTACATTTTTTCCTGAATTTCTCAAAAGTACTATATTTTTGCAGCTGTTTTGGGAAAAATACTATATTCGTTCAAAAAAGGCGACAGTAGCCTAATGGCAGAGCTCAGACCGCGAACTCAAAAGGTCGTGGGTTCGAATCCGCCATTCGAATACTGTCGTGAACTACTCCTAACACAAGCGTTTTAAGCTTATCAGGAGTGGTTAAAGGAATATTAGTAATGTTAATTAATAGGATTACTAATATTTAAAAAAAAAACGGTGGCAACCCCACCTCCAATTATTAACCCCTAACCATCCGATAAACTGTTGTTTCGTTCTACCCTGATATAAAACAAAAATTACGGTCAACTATTTACATATTTTTTCTTTCATTACACCATACCAAAGTCTCACTGTCGCCTCTTACGACACTTACGAGATGATTCCGAGTATGTGTGGATTACCTTATGCAGCCACTACACACCGATATTTACATACTTAATTTTATTCTTAATTTTATTATATTTCCTCTAGCCATCCGATTCGACAAGAGAACGCCAAAGTGACACGAATTGCAAGTTCTACGACAATAGGATGGCACTCAACCACAAGAGTCTGCCCCCGGCCTTCGACCTGGATGAGTTGGTTGCAGCGGGAGAGGAGATGGGAGCATGTCCCTACTTCGCCGCAAGGTCGATGGCCTCCAGCGCCCATATTGTCTTCTGCCCCTACAACTACCTTATAGAGCCTTCAATTAGAAATAGTGTAGGTGTCTAAAGTTATGTAATATATAATTATACATCTCATTGCTATGTAGAGGCATCCTCGCAGGCACTTGTAATGGAGCCTTCAATAGAGTTATGCATCAATCAGATCGCCGCACTGCTCCAGTGCGTGATGGCGGACTTACATATCCTCGAAATATATGATTTTTCAAACATGCAGGGTTCGTTACGTTGTTTACTGTCACCGTCGAGCACGGGGTAAATCGGCACTCAGCATTGGTATCAGTATTAAGGAGTGCCAGTACGTGCCAATGCGGCGCCTAGACCCATCATGAGTTTGATATAGCAACCTGGGTCAGAGTCTAGAGCGACATCACTTCTTATAAAACCATTTGGTGGAATTATATCTCCAGCACTGGCTCATTCAACAATTTAAATGTACAGATTGGTATATGCAGATGTATGAATGAATTTACCAATCAACAGTCCACTGCTAAACAGAGAGCCTCGTGGCATGCTGTTTGCCAAACGCAGTTTTTTATTTGTTATTAGTAAGAATTTGTTACCCTATGTCGCCTCTTACCGTACCTACGGGACTATATGGGGTAACGTATATTCTTACACCGCACGTCTAGAATGAATTTAATTGAAAATTAATATAATTAACTCTTTGCCAAAAAGTTAGATTATGTCATAGGATAGGATATGAGTTACCATTTTTTCAGTTATCAGCAAAGTGACCCAGTAATAAAATATAAATAAAAAACCTGCATTTTATATACTACTGCTTTAGATGCAAATCGATTTGCAAGGCAACATCGTGATCATCGACGAGGCGCACAACATAGAGGATATCTGTCGCGACGCCGCCACATTTACCTTCACCAGGGACAACATACAAGCCGCTATCAAGGTATACCCTCGCAATTTGTTCAATATCACAAATAATGTACATTATTTACTGTAAAAAAATAATTGTATTGACCCTTTGCATTGATAAGGAAGTAAGAATTCCATCTCAGTGCTCAGTGAAGACTAGTCATTAGCAATTTGATTCTTAATCAAGGACTTTTTATAGAAGAGGGGGCAAACGAGCATGCGGCTCACCTGATGATAAGTGTCAACCGCCGCCGATAAACATCAACAACACCAGAGTAATGGCAGGTACATTACCGGCCTTTTATAAAGGAGTAAGCTCGAGTCATTAAACAAAAAAAATTATGTATGCGCAATATTTGCTGATATGTCAAGGGCTTTTGACTGTGTTAATCATAAAATACTATTAGATAAGATGGAGATGTGTGGAATTTGAGGAGTGGTTCTTCATTAGATTAAGTTATACATTTAGTATAGGAAACAAGTTACAGGACTAAATGGCTTTTTACCATAATACAAAAATAGTGACAGGTTATAGATGGAAATTTAGAGAAATATACTACGGTATTCTACAGGGCACTGTATTAGGCCCCGTTCTTTTCTTGTTATGTACAAACGTCCTTCCAAAACATAAATCGAAATCCAATGATTTTATTCGCAGATAGATACAGTCACCACACTCGTGAAGTGTGCTTCCAGGGAATTATTTCAAGTAGTTCAAGTAGATGTTAGCATTACACTCAGGAATATTGTGGAATAGTTAAACCGTAATAAATTAAGTATTAATTTGTCCAAAACTCATGACATATAGTTTTATTCCAAATTTCAAAAACCGTTACCATTAAATATAGAATATAAGTCAGAAATAATATTCAACAAAATTCTGCGCGTCGTATGTATGTCATGGAGAACTTTAAACCGATTCTTTAGGTAAGAACTAGGAAGAATTAAAAAGAACATTATAAAGACGCGAGAGAATATGAGCACTCCAACGAAGGCAAATTGCCAGCCACTTGAACCTGTTTAGGCAGCAAGAGGCCTATTAATGTTGTTAGGTATTCTATTACTGGAATAAAAGGCCTGATGTTAAGGTTGTTAGGTATTCTATTACTGGAATAACAGGCCTGATGTTAAGGTTGATAGGTAATCTATGCGTTGTTGGTATTTTGGAATAACAGGCCTGATGTTAAGGTTGTTAAATATTCTATTACTGGAATAACAGGCCTGATGTTAATGTTGTTAGGTATTCTATTAATGGAATAAAAGGCCTGATGTTAAGGTTGTTAGGTATTCTATTACTGGAATGACGGGCCTGATGTTAAGGTTGTTAGGTATTCTATTACTGGAATAACAGGCTTGATGTTAAGGTTGTTAGGTATTCTATTACTGAAATAACAGGCCTGATGTTAAGGTTGTTCGGTATTCTATAACTGGAATAACAGACTTGGTGTTAAGGTTGTTAGGTATTCTTTAACTGGAATAACAGACTTGATGTTAAGGTTGGTAGGTATTCTATTACTGGAATAACAGACTTGATGTTAAGGTTGTTAGGTATTCTATTACTGGAATAACAGACTTGATGTTAAGGTTGTTACGTATTCTATTACTAGAATAGCAGACTTGATGTTAAGGTTGTTATGTATTCTATAACTGGAATAAGAGACTTGATGTTAAGGTTGTTAGGTATTCTATTACTGGAATAACAGACTTGATGTTAAGGTTGTTATGTATTCTATAACTGGAATAACAGACTTGATGTTAAGGTTGTTAGGTATTCTATTACTGGAATAACAGACTTGATGTTAAGGTTGTTAGGTATTCTATTACTGGAATAACAGACTTGATGTTAAGGTTGTTCGGTATTCTATAACTGGAATAACAGACTTGATGTTAAGGTTGTTAGGTATTCTATTACTGAAATAACAGACTTGATGTTAAGGTTGTTATGTATTCTATACCTGGAATAACAGACTTGATGTTAAGGTTGTTAGGTATTCTATTACTGTAATAAAAGGCCTGATCGTAAGGTTGTTAGGTGTTCTACTACTGGAATAACGGGCCTGATGTTAAGGTTGTTAGGTATTCTATTACTGGAATAACAGACTTGATGTTAAGGTTGTTAGGTATTCTATAACTGGAATAACAGACTTGATGTTAAGGTTGTTACGTATTCTATTACTGGAATAACAAGGCCTGATCGTAAGGTTGTTATGTATTCTATTACTGGAATAACAGTCCTGATGTTAAGGTTGTTAGGTATTCTATTACTGGAATAACAGGTCTGATGTTAATGTTGTTAGGTATTCTATTACTGGAATAACAGACTTGATGTTAAGGTTGTTAGGTATTCTATAACTGGAATAACAGACTTGATGTTAAGGTTGTTAGGTATTCTATAACTGGAATAACAGACTTGATGTTAAGGTTGTTAGGTATTCTATAACTGGAATAACAGACTTGATGTTAAGGTTGTTAGGTATTCTATTACTGGAACAACAGGCCTGATGTTAAGGTTGTTAGGTATTTTATTACTGGAATAACAGGTCTGATGTTAATGTTGTTAGGTATTCTATAACTGGAATAACAGACGTGATGTTAATGTTGTTAGGTATTCTATTACTGGAATAACAGACTTGATGTTAAGGTTGTTAGGTATTCTATAACTGGAATAACAGACTTGATGTTAAGGTTGTTAGGTATTCTATAACTGGAATAACAGACTTGATGTTAAGGTTGTTAGGTATTCTATTACTGGAATAACAGGCCTGATGTTAAGGTTGTTATGTATTCTATTACTGGAATAACAGGCCTGATGTTAATGTTGTTACGTATTCTATTACTGGAATAACGGGCCTGATGTTAAGGTTGTTAGGTATTCTATTACTGGAATAACAGGCTTGATGTTAAGGTTGTTAGGTATTCTATTACTGGAATAACAGACTTGATGTTAATGTTGTTAGGTATTCTATTACTGGAATAAAAGGCCTGATGTTAATGTTGTTAGGTATTCTATTACTGGAATAACAGACTTGGTGTTAAGGTTGTTAGGTATTCTATTACTGGAATAGAAGACTTGATGTTAAGGTTGTTAGGTATTCTATTACTGGAATAACAGACTTGATGTTAAGGTTGTTATGTATTCTATTACTGGAATAGCAGACTTGATGTTAAGGTTGTTAGGTATTCTATAACTGGAATAACAGACTTGATGTTAAGGTTGTTTGGTATTCTATTACTGGAATAACAGACTTGGTGTTAAGGTTGTTAGGTATTCTATTACTGGAATAACAGGCGTGATGTTAAGGTTGTTATGTATTCTATTACTGGAACTAACAGGCCTGATGTTAATGTTGTTAGGTATTCTATTACTGGAATAACATACTTGATGTTAAGGTTGTTAGGTATTCTATAACTGGAATAACAGACTTGATGTTAAGGTTGTTAGATATTCAATTACTGAAATTTTTTTACCTTTGGGAGCCGACATAGTTTTTTATTGCAACAAATTGTTTTTTCCAGGAGCTGGAAGTGGTCGCTGGTTACAGATACAAGAACCAGGACGTGATGAGCTACGTTGAATACTTACTACAGACTCTCAAACGCTGGGACGAATGGTACTGTATCATAATCAAAATGAATGACAGCCCATAACTGTCTCACAGTTGGGTATAATCTTTGTTTGTTTGTTTGTTTAAAAGTATTCAACATGTCTTCGAATTCTTAACACGATTTAAATTATTATTTAATAAAAAAACGATTTATCTCACTGCGTAAGAATTAATTGTCGACAAAATACGCATTCGAACCAAACGGTTTGCTTCCTCGTACATTAGGTGTACGTAAAGGAGTTAAATAATATGGGAAACATCTGTCTTTCTATCCTACTACAATAACATTGGTGTCTTCAAGGCAGGAGTAAATAAGCTTCTTAAGCTGAGTAACACTTTACTATCTTTGCAATCAAAATCCTGCAAATGCACTGAGCATTACCATCGAGGGACCGGACAGCTTCTAACCTTCTAACTTATTGTACCATTTTATACTACTATGGTATTTCTCTTAGTACTCAACAATTTTATTAGAGATATACTGTCACGGCAAGAGAATGCAACTACAAGGAAAGCAAATGTATGCTGCAGAAGTGAGTGTTGGAGTCGGTATGCCCTTTGTCAAGGAATCCCAAAGTGGTTGATATCGACCCCAAGGGAAATCAATTTCCCAGGGGTCACCATAAACGTAAACAGATTTTGAGGGTCGACGAGGTCTAAAAATCAACCCCTATTAATTAACACACGTTCTTATTTTAAACTTTCAAGATACTGTATAAGTTGCGTTACGTATATGAACTTGTTATAAAAATGACTAATATTTTGGTAGGGAAGTATCATTGTTATACTTTTAAAAAACTCAATAAGTCGATAAACGTGCACAAGATCGTGCAAGATAATGAGTTCGAGCGTACTAGTTTTTCAGTACTCTCTTCTGTTTTCGACTTGCTCCGTATTTGACGCATATACGCGATGCATTTTTTAAAGTAATTTGGCTATGGGGTCAGGTGTCAGTTCATTTTGGAAAAGGGATCTCTTGTCCAAAAAAAAATTGGGAATCCCTGCCCTAGATAGAAGTTTATCGACTAAATTGAGTATATATTAAAGATGTGTCAAATTAAGAATATCCACAACCGACAAGCATGCATACATAGATATACGGATGTGAAAAAAGCGAGAGAGGTGTATCAGAATCGTACCAAATAAAATACTGTAGTCTATGCATTCTCCTCTCAGTGACGGGCATGAAAGTTTTTATTTGTGTTATGTATTAATTATACTTATTTAGTGTACGAAATCAATACTAAACTGCACACCTACTTTTGTGCCTTAGTCACCTTATTTTTTCGAGAGCCTGTGTAATAACAGATATAATAACACACTTGTAGCATTTTTTTACTCAAAGTTGTTTGATGATGTTGTAACAATCCCCCCCCCCCGGTTCTTCCTATATATATATATATATATATATATATATATATATATATATATATATATATATATATATATCATGTTTTGATCTTTCCAAATGATTTAAGGTTTAATAATAGGCCGTTTATAATATTTATAGCGTGATCTTCTTAGTTAGGACCCTTATTTACGTTGTGTTTGTTTCGTAACTTAGTTATTTTTGGTGCCTTTTGGAAGAGTGAACCCGTTCACGAAGACAGGGCTCGAGGTTAAGACTTAAGAACATTAAAACGTCCCTATTCCACTTGTATCAGGTTTACATTATTAATTTATTATTAATTATACCTTCCCTCCTGAGAAAGGCTCACAAATTCAGCCATAATGAATGTACGTCTCACGGTTTAGGCAAATAGGCACACTGGCCATAAAAAGCCCTCCGTGAGCGCCACCACCTGCCAGTCCGCCGTTCCTGCAGGCGTGATGTAAGTATATGGCATCATCACCGATTGCATGATCAGCACGGCTACTAGCCGCAGAGCGTGTCATGAGTCCACCGCTCACCTCAAGGGAATAGGTTTCCACGTTGTGCGGAGAGTCACAGATCCTTCAGCTACCACCCGCATGAGGTCGACACATATGCTCTACCGACTACTACTCTAACGGCAGATATAGCCAATAGGCAGATATAAGATAAAGTTATAATTTGTACATGCATTTTCGATCATGTTTGTCTCACCCACCAACTAGTTGCCTTCAACCATTCAAGGATGGGAAAGTTACAGAGAGATATTATTATGTTGTTATATAAAACATCATGGAGGTCAGACAGTCTACAGTGTCGTAACTAAGGGACCCGACTTGGGTAAAGCTGCTTAGGTGCGAGTCAAACCAAGACGCAGAGAGTGCCATTGAGAATAGCGACCCGCCAAACAACCATCGCAGAGACGCAATACTGCAGAACGCAACAAGAATTAATTCGACTATCGTCGTACTTACATCATCCCAAGGTCCTCATACAATCCCAGCAGATATTACCACCCGCATACCTCCATTGACCGGAACCAGGAGATGGAGAGACGGAGGCAGTAAGCATCAAAGCAACTATTATACGGATGGCGCACTCTCACAACACACCCACATGAGCCCTATCGACTATGGTAACAAAATTTTTATTGTTGTTAACTAAAAATAACACCAACGTATCATAGTAGCAAGTCACTAAGAAGCCAGTGGACAAATCTCCACGTATCATAGCGCTAATGCACTAAGACATGAAGTTGAGTATGCTTGTTATACTTAAAAGTGCTACCAAACACACTCGTCCGAATCCGAAAGATAGCTGACGTATCATAACGCTATTCCTTAAGACGCCGCCCACAAACGGTATGGGTGTGCGATGTCCACGGGCTAGCCGTATTGCTACAACAAACTAACCGATGTGTCCCTCGGGGACACATCGGTTAGCGAGCCCAAGTTTACCTCGGTCTCGGAGGCTTGTGATCCAGTCTACACGCCATTATAATAAACCTTTTCAAGTCCCATTTCTATTAATATAATGCTCTTACATATTTGAGACCGTCCACATATTTGCTTTATTTTATAGACCTTAATTATATGTCTTTAATATATAGGACTTCAGTCCACAACTCTACTATCGTAATCTTACATCTTAGAAACCTTTTATAGCGTGGAATACCATAATACGCAATAGAATGGCTGTCAACCTTATTTTGTACGACGATAGGCGTCGCCGGGGGCACACCCACAAGTAATTACGTAGTATTGTCGCTACTACCAACCCGATTCGCTGTGTTGGCAGACAGATTTTAATACGTATTTATTTGTAAATAGCGTGCAATTTGGCATTTTCTAAATAATTTGCATGTGAAATTTGCAAACGATTGTAACATCAAAATACATCTGGTATTGACATTTATACGTGTGAATTGACGTGTTAGTGACATTTTAGTGGTTACACGGGCTCCGCCTACCGAAGTCTCCCGTTCTATTATGTATGTAATTATAATATTCTATGTTCTATAGTAATGCTTTAGTATCATAGATCTTACTTTCATATGTCTTTAATATATGGGACTTAAAGCCCCAACTCTACTATTGTAATTCTTATGCATCATAGAGACCTTCTATAATAATGTTTTTGTATCATAGACCTTACTATCATAAGTCCCTAATACGGGACTATACATAGTGCAACAGTACTATAAGTAGTCGGTCACCCGACCACCCCGTTATATATGTACACATATGGCAGCTCCCTTATATAAGTAAACTTTACAAGAACACCCTCCATGACTTAGGCAATTTTCTCTACACGAACACGCTCAATGACTTAGGCAATTTTCTCTACACGAACACGCTCAATGACTTCGGCAATTTTCTCTTCACGAACACGCTCAATCACTTAGCCAATTTTCTCTACACTAACACGCTCAATTACTTAGGCAATTTCTGATGAATTATTTTATTATTTTACTAAAGTGTACACATTAAACTAAAGTGTACAACCAGTGCGTGTTGCCAGTGCTGACTTACGGATCAGAGACGTGGTCCTTCACCGCTGGCCGTATGAGGACGCTCAAGGTCGCTCAGCGAGCTATGGAGAGGGCTATGCTCGGAGTTTCTCTGCGTGATAGACTCAGAAAAGAGGATATCCGCAGTAAAACCAGAGTGACTGACATAGCCCAACGGATTAGTAATCTGAAGTGGCAATGGGCCGGCCATATAGCTAGAAGAACCGATAACCAATGGGGAAGAAAGGTTCTCGAGTGGCAGCCTCGTACCGGTAGGCGTAGTGTAGGGCGACCCCCCACTAGATGGGGTGACGACCTGGTAAGACATGCAGGAAGTCGATGGATGCAGGTGGCTCAGGACCGTGCTTTATGGCATTACTTGGGGGAGGCCTATGTTCAGCAGTGGACTTGTGAAGGGCTGTAATGATGATGATGATGATGATGATATTTTATTATATTATAAATGTTATTTATGTTTATTATTATAATATTTTTGACTTGTATTTCTATTATTTAACACATTTCGAATAATTTAACAATGTTTTTTTAAATAAATTTATTGATTTGGAAAGGCAATATTAAGCCTTTAATTTACTATAGTACTTAATGTATGAAATGTAAGGCAACATTTGCGTTGTCACCGCTGCAGACTAAGATGGAATGCCTCACAGCCTGTTATTATACTGGCTCTCTGTACCATTCCGATCGAAACACAGCAGTACAGCTTGGCGGCAAAAATAAATAATAGGATGATACCTACCCAGAACTCCTAGACAGAAAAAGATTTATAAATTTTATGAAAGAAAATAGCGTTTTATTTTTAAATTCATTGAATTTACGTTCTATAAGTGAAACCAAACCACTGGTTTCAAGAATAACAGTGTTTACACTAACACTGTATATACAGCTTTATTAATCATTAAAACAACTTTTTACATGATCCTTTTAGCTAATTTGACCATTTTAATTCCAGGTTCGTAAACCAGATACCGCTAGTGAACAACCAGGCGGTAAGCGGCAACGAGGCGGTGTACACGTGGCAGGTGGAGTACTTCGTGCAAACGTTGAACAACCACAACATCGGACAGCAACAATACAATGGTCAGCTATTGAGATATAACTATCGATACGATATCATAAATTAAAATCGGATCGGTGCTTCCATTGTTTAAACTAAATTTTAACACAGTGCGTACATAAATATTCGCCTGTCACTCAGTGTTAGGCAGAGATTACAGACTTCAATTAGGTACGATCCTGACTTATCTCGCTTCTTTCATACATACATTGGTTAAGGGTACTATTAGTTTGGTCCATCTTCAACATATCACCAATTTGACTGATAAACTTTCTGCTAGGTCATCTCTTGCCGATTCTGCCAATCACTTGAAGTGTATTAATTTGCTTTGGCACTCTTCTCACCGCAATTGGACATCGAATAACTTTGATTTGAAACTAAAAGCTTGACAATCCTATAACACAGTGGCTGAAAATTTGGCTGCGGCGCTTCGGGCCGCGGGTTAAATCCCGCACAGTACAGGTGTTATACTTGGTAATAGAACTTCTTTTCTACCTAGGAGTTCATCTAGGTTGATACCACCCATAGTGCGTGCAGTGATGTATTCCGGTTTGATTGGTAGTGTTGTCGACGCTATCGTTGCTTCTCAAACATCTGAAACTTAAATAATATTAATTAATTAAACAACTCAAGGTCATTCAGCGACCCATGGAGAGGACTTTGTTTGGGGTTTCTCTGCAACATAAACTTACAAATGAGGATATCCGCAGTAGAACCAGAGTGCCGGTGAGCCGGCTATATAGCTTGAAGAACCGACAACCGATGGGGAAAAAGGTTTCTCGAATGGCAATCTCGTACCGGTAGGCGAAGTGTAGGGCGACCCCCTACTAGATGGAGTGACGACCTGACCAGGAAGTCGATGGATGCAGGTGGCTCAGGACCGTGCTTTGTGGCATTCCTTTGGGGAGGTCTATGTTCAGCAGTAGACTTGTGAAGGGCTGTAATGATGATGATGAATTATATATATAAATTAAACATAATATGTGTAACATATATACACATAATTGTTGCTTACTTTATGTACTACTTATTGTTTCTTCTATATTAAATAAGTACGTGTGCATACGGGGTAGGTGACACTTACCGTGCTTTCTATGGTAGGGTGAAGGCACATTGGCAACATCGGTGTTACACCACTGAGTATATGATCCGGCACGCGTCAGTTGCACTAGAACATCGTACGAGGTGACACTTACGTCTCACTCACCGCGGATGTACACGCACTCACAAAAATTTTGTAGTTTATTTTTCTCCCACACTACACCAGCGGCCTACTTCATAAACAGGTAAAGAGAGTCATTATATTAAGAGGCTGTGAGACATTCCGTCTTAATCCTAGAATGCCTCACAAGCGTGTCAACACAACTGTAGGCTTCTTTGTTTAAAGTTGGCTCCATCCTACATGGACTGTACCAGCCACTCACCACTAGGTGGACAAACCTACATACAGGTTTGTCAGTTCAATGTGATAAAAAATTTTTGTATGGTTTACACATTTCTAATTCTAAATGTTTGTCCATGTGTAATTAATGTTTTCATGATAAAAGAGAAAATCATGGAAAGTTAACTATATTAAACATAAAACTTACATAACTAAAACTAATTCTTAGTTTATTTTATTAGAAAGAGCCGTGGTAGCTCAGATGGTTAGCGCTCGCTGTAAATTTCACAGTAAGCGAGCAACCCGGGTTCGATCCCCGCCGGCACCAATGAAATTGTTAATTGCAATTTTAAGTGCTGATTTACCACGTGCTCGGCGGTGAAGGAAAACATCGTTAGGAAACCTGCATGTCTGAGAAATAAAAAAAATATTTCGAAGACATGTGAAGTTCGCTAACACGCATTTGGGCAGCGCAGCGGACACTTCCTTGCCCTAAAACCGTCTCAGAAATGAGAGGAGGCCTGTGCCCAGCAGTGGGACGAATATAGGCTGTAACTTTACTTTTTTTTACTTTTTATTAGAATTTCGTCAAAATGCGGAAATATTCTGCAAACGCCTGCGCGAAGACCCGCGTACTTTGTTCGGTATCACTCAGGCAACCGGCACTTTAATTGAATCCATCGATACAGTACTAGGTGAGTGATTTTGATTTTTTTTATTGATATTACTTTTTTAATTATTTCGAACTATACCATAATTTTACCTTCGTCAATCTATCTCTCTCTATCTTTCTCCTCCCCCCCTCCCTCCCACTCAATATCGCTCTCTTCACCTCTATCTCTCTTCCTCTCACTTACTTGCTCTCCTTATTTCTCTCGCTTTCTCTAACCTCTCAAGAGCGCCTATACCTAGCCTATATAGATTGCTACTTTTATTTCTTACTTGCGATACAATAAAAAAAAACTTGTATCTGCAGGTTACTTGTTTCGCTGCTCGGGAAAGTACATGGACGACTTCAAACCGGCTCTCATACGAAACGTAACCGGCACAGACGCGCTATCAGAAGCTGTGTCGTGGCGGACCTCACAGTTCAACAGGGTTTGTTTCATGTGTTATATACAGTTGTTAACCGTGTAGTGGTAAAAAAATTTACTACCCCATATCATCCCGTGATGTCTTAAGAGGTGACTGAATATGGCAATAGAGGGGAAAAGGAGATAGCAGGCTTCTTGATAACAGCTGAATAAAAATAAAAAACGGAGGTTACCTACCCGCTTGCCAAGCGTGGCAACCATGGCAAATATCCATGCATATTTATATTCAGCAAAGGGCTTTTTATATGCTAATGTTAATGATATAAACAGTCTTAACGTCAAAAACTCGTTGCATTCAAATAGTAGCTAAAAAGCCCGCTAGCTCAGAAAGAACAGCAAACAGGTTAACCTGTTTGCTCGCGACGCGAATGGCGGGAATTGCAAATTTTTTGCTAACTTGCAAATTTTGCTATATTTTCACTTTGAGACAATATTTATGGATAAAACTTACAGGAATTCTTGTTGAATGTACAAACTATCGAATAAAATTATTTTTGGTTGCTAGAAATTGTAATAAAATTCATAAATTACCCTTTATAGCATAGTAGTAGTATATACTTCACTTTTAGTGCCAAAATTACTACTAATTTGAATTCTACACTTTTGTTTTTGGAGAAATTTATATGAAAATGTTTGGAAATATGTATATTTTTATGTTTTATGTGTTTCTATTCGTTACTCATACCAAAATATTTAAAAAAAAATAATATTAATATTTATCTGTATGACATTTCGAACAATATTTCATATATATTTTTGTGTGAATTTGAAATAAATACAACGTCAAGTTATTTGAAATATGTTATAAAACTATTTTTTAAACAAAAAATAAATGAGAATTGGAAAATTAACACATTTTTAACCAACCGCCAAAATGGGCCTGCTCGATTTCGAAGTACTTTTGGGACTTACTTTTCACTTTTTATGCTACAAATTATATGTCTACGCGTTTACTATATTACAAGGAATACAAAAAAGTATAATACTTTCGTTTTTAGTCCAGACACAAATATAAAATTCTATAAATAAGACGGAGCACCTTCTGCAATGCGACACGTGGAACGCCGAAAGTTCAGAGTGATTTCTTTTTTTTTTTTCTAAGAAACATTGCCAGGTTATGGTTTAAAATAAAAGGGCATATCTTTGTCTTTTACTATATTATTCATTGCATATTGTCTTTGGTTTCGTTTAAAACAAAAAAGTATTTTTCATAGGGCAGTATTTGGTATCGAATTTGATACCGTCCTGAGCCAGCCGTAGGTAATTTTATAATATCGAATAAGAGTATGGCCATGAGCTAACGGGCACAATGTTAAGCTAATAACAAATAATAAAAAATTTTTAGGGTCGGAAGATAGATAGAATAGCCAGAAATAGATACAGCGACGGACTACGTAGAAGATGGAAGGACTCTTTTTTGGCCTGTGCCCAACAGTTACTGTTACAGTATATCAAAAGTCGACTACTGTACTGTTTCCAGCTATATTGCCTAGAGGCAAATCAAAAAATCTTTATTTCGCAACACAGTGGTTTGTAATTGTAAACAGAGATCAAAAAAACATCCTATTAAGTCATAATAATACTTGTGCCAGGTGGCTCCACTCTTCCTTACTTTACTAAATATCTTTAAATATGTTTGTGAAGACAATTTGGAAAAACTATAAAAATAGTAAATGTTAACTAGTTTAGAGTGATAAACAAGGCAAAACAACAATCAATTTTCAATTTACATATTACCTGAAATAGATTAATTCTGAATTTTAAAGAAAAGCATATGTGCAAATATATATGTGTATTGTGTGAATGCGTAAGTTCGTATATATTGTCACAGTTCTCGTTCACCAAAACCTATTTCAACATATCAACATAATAAATGTAAAATTAAATCAATTAGCATATTGCAATAGATTGCCTTATAGGAAGAATTGTACTCAGCAGTAGAATATAGTATTATGTAGTGTTGCATTTTTTTTAACTGTTGACATGTAGGATCTGTGCATGTGACGTAAATCGTATAATCTATTTTCAGTCAATAGACAAAGAGACTCTGTCACTGCGTCTGATGTGCATGAACCCGGCGGTGATTTTCGAGAGTTTGAAAAAGGCTCGCTGCATCATGTTGGCGTCGGGCACACTCACGCCACTCGTCAGCCTGCACTCCGAGCTCGCCACCGACTTCCCGCTGCAAGTCAGCCCCAATCACGTCATACCTAGCGACCGGGTAAGCTGAAATCAACCTTACTGCACAAGTCTTAACGTACAGTTTTCAACAATAATTTTCTTAGAAACAAAAACCCCCAAACTTCAACAATATAATAATTAATAATAATAATAATTTATTTTATTTTGATAAACTGTACAAATTATTCCAATAAGTCTTAACTTAAAAATAGTCTACAATGACAGGCACCTGAACTAGGATAAACATAAAAATACGTATAGTGACGGCGTAAGAAAATCCTCTACACCATACAATAAGATATGGGCACCAACGACTTCCTGATAACAACCCAAAATAGGTAATAACAGTCACCAACCCGCCTCCCAATAAAGTATTCTATGTTAATTTCAATAGTGTATAGTTTTTAATGAATGAAAACGATTTGACATTTATGCTTCTTACGTATTTTTACGTGTACAATTTTGCCACGCTCGTAAAGGAAATTAGAGTCGTGGAGCCACGCTGCAGTTATATTATGATTATAGCACGAAAGGGTCGGCTCGTACGGGGAGGGACCACACCCTCTGTGTGGTGATCGCTACCAAGCTATTTCTGATTCGTTTTGTGTTGATTAATTGTGTAACAAAAAGTCTTAAAAAAGTCCCGCAGGGTTTCTTACTAGTTCTTCCCAGGACATAGGATTTTTCCATACCAGTGGTAATTAAACAAAAGAGTGACTTTCAATAAGTATTATTTATAATCTATATTGAATAAAAAGTTTCTGTTTCTCATAGAACGTAAAATAGGAACTTAATGCTGCTGTAATGTTTCCTTATGGTGATTGTCGAGAACGAAACATTCCATCTTATTCCCCAGGGGGTGACAACGAATACTCGTATGCATTGGGATTCCTAATCAAGGATAGAAAAGGCACACAATGTCAAATTCCCAACAGGTGGACACTGTCCTCGTTTGTCACCCTTACTCTATAAAATATAAATCATCAATTTTTATGCATATAAACTAAATACTACTGACTGACTGACTCATCACGATATGTCTAAAACTATACACCCAATTGACGTGAAATTTAGTATAGTTACTCATTTCACAATGAAGACGCTCACAAAGAACGGACTTTACGATAGTCCTATATTAAAAAAAATTCTTGAAATTTTATATCTACCTTATTATCGTCTATAACCGTGCGCCCAGCGAAGCGAGCGGGTGTCAGCTAGTGTTATTATGTAAATAAAACTTATTGAAAGTCACTCTTTTGTCTAATATGTTTTGTTGGAGCCATTTATTAACTCTATCAAAACCTTGCTGAGCATATAAATAAACCTTGTCCACTGTATTTGCGGAAAAAAGTAGCACGGTATCATCTGCGTAAGATATTATTTTACCTGAGTTAAGTTCAAGATTGCAAAGGTCATTTATATAAATCAAAAATAGGGTTGGCCCTAATACACTTCCTTGAGGCACGCCAAAATGAGTATTTTTTTGTTCAGAGCTAACAACCTTATCGATTTTTATGTATTGATATCGATTTTCTAAATAATTCTCAAAAAGTTGAAGCTGCTTACCTCGAATACCTATGTTCTCTAACTTATTTAATAGGATAGGAATAGAAACCGTATCAAATGCTTTTGCAAGGTCAAGGAAAATGCCAATTGATTGGTTGCCTTTATCTAATTCTTGAGAGACGTAATCGGTCATTTCCTGCACAGCATCAGCAGTGGACAGTTTAGGCCTGAAACCATATTGCATATTCGATAATATGGATTTGCTTTGTAAATAATTCATTAATCTGTTGTTAATTAATTTTTCTAATATTTTAGACGTGGATGAGAGTATCGAGATAGGCCGATAATTGGAAACGTTTTTTTTGTTCCCCGATTTGAACTTTTTTTAAACAATCTGGGAAAATTCCTTCAGAGAGACAAATTCTGAAAATATGGGTTAATGGTGGTATTAGAATTTGTCTATATTTTTTTAATATACTAATGGGTATGCCATCCCATCCAACCGCGCTTGTTTCTTTCAGTCCCATTATAATCCTTTCCACCTCACTAGGGTCCGTATCTAATAATGTGAACGAGCTTAATTGGCAATTTTTTTGAGTTAAGAAGTGGCCCTGTATTCACGATTATTGTTAGAATTTTTTGTTATCTGCTCAGCCAGATTTTTACCAACATTCACAAAGTATTTATTTGCTGTATTTGCTGATATAAGCGGCGAGGCATTATTTTGTAATAATTCTGACGAAGATTCATGCTGTTTGGAAATAAATGCAATATCTTTTACATGCCGCCAAATCTTTTTATTATCTCTACCAGACTCTTCTAGTAAGTTTGTAAGATAATTATACTTCAACTTTTCTAATAAATTGTTACAAAAATTCCTATATCTTTTATATGAAATTTGTAAAACGGAATTATCTGAAGAGGACTTTGCCATCAGGTGTAGTTTGTCCCTGTGTTTCATGCACCTAATCAGGCCAGGTGTAATCCAAGGCTTTAAGTTATTATTTTTTTTAGCTACTGTTCTATACGAAGTATTGCTAGCAATGGCATTTCGTACGTTATTTATTAAGTAAGGCAAAGAAATGTTTACGTCATCGGTTTTATAAACTGGGCTAAAGTCAATGTTTTGAATTGCTTGTTCAAGGTGTTTCATATTAATTTTAGTAATAGAGTACTTACAATTAGGTTTCGATATTTTAAGGCTTAAGTTAAGAATGACGGCGCTATGATCGGTTACTATAGGACTGGTGACAAGGGTTATAGATGGTAACCTAGTTTTTAGAAAAGTGTGGTCTAAACAAGAACCACTTAGATGTGTAGGGAGCAAATGTGCTGGAAGCAGGCCCTGGCATGCACATATATTAAGGTAGTCTTTTGCTCCGCCTTCACTGCCTTCTGGGTTTATATCAATATTCATATCACCCGTTAACACTATATTTTTGAACGACGACCGTTTCCCAAGTGTAATGTCTAATGACGTGATAAAATTGTCTATTTGCTTAAAACCACAAGGTCTGTAAACAGCAAGGATAGCAGTTTCATGACCCCCTCTCACCAACAACCTGCTACAATCTAGCATATTAGGTTCCTCGACTGATATGTTCGTATTTTTTTTCGCAAAGACTACTACACCGTCATTTTGGTTATATACATTTTTACTACTAAAAGTATTGTAACCTGGCAGTAATGGGAGGTTGCTTTGGCTTTTAGATAGCCAACATTCTGTTAGTATGATGATGTCGCAGTCAGTGTCCAATCTTCGAAGGAGGATATGGAAATTATCCATGTTTTTATTTATACTACGAATGTTCTGTGTTAAAATAGTAAGAGAGTTCGCAGGTTTGAAGAGATATTCTTTACACATATCAATTTCACATGTTTTTGCCACTGATAAACTGACCGCATCGATTTCGTTACTTAACTTATCCATATTATTCAACAGAAAAAATAACACTAAAAAAAAGATATATATAAACTAAACTTAAACTTATTAGTAACTTATAAATTAGGGCAAAAAGAATTTAGGTAAAAGGGGGCGCTCTTAGGCGCCCTCTTTATAATCAATGGAATTAATATACCTATTTTCAGCCATCTTCCTAGCTGGGCATTCGGGGTCACCTGTTTTATGGTCGCTCGGTTTTTTAAAACGCAGTGTTGCACACTTTGCTGGATCAGTTTTCTTAATGGAAGCATTTGACTGATAACCTAATTCACCACAATGTCTACACGTGTCGATTGTTTCCCGGCAAGTTCTTGCAGCGTGTCCATACTGTTGGCATTTGAAGCACCTGGTCACAAGTGTGAAGTCTCGAACTGGGCACGATGTCCAATTTATGAAGACTCGCTCCTGGTTGATAAGTGCCTTTCTGATGCCAGCTGGCACTTCCAAAATAAAGTTGCATGAAAGTGTTTGTGTTTTACCCGATTTATGACTTAGTTTTATAGAGGACAAAAAAGATTCCCGCGTTAAGTTAGGGATCTTATCGGCTATATTTTGTTCAAAAATGCAGTCAAAGACTTCTCGTTCGCTAAGGGCGGTAGGTATTCCTAAGACTATAATCCTTGGTCTTCTTTTATGGGGCTCTTCCACCTTTATTCCGGAACTACTAAGCTGGGTAGATTTTTTTTAACTTCTCAATGTTCTCCTTTGAACCAGTGTTTATAATAACGCCTCCATTTTTAGTTTTTCGTAGTCCTCTTACGTGTAGTTTCAATTGTTCGGGGCATATATATAAATTTTCTGGACAAGAGATTTTGTGTCTTCACTTGTTTTTAATTTATTCTCAGTGTAAATTGCTATGGAACTGAATGTATTGGGGCGCAAGTAATTATTTTTGGTTGTTTTGACCATATCAGCAAAGGACATTTTTTTCTGTAGATGATTTGGCACAGTTTTCTTGAATCGTTTCCTTGAGTGATTTTCTAAAATCATTTAGGCATTCCATTAGGTCTTGTTTTTCTCTCAGTGCTTCAAGAGAGGTGTGCATTAGAATAGCCTTTTGCTTCAAAGATTGGTAGTAAACTGCCATCTGAGAGGCTGCATTACCGACCTTGCGCGATAGGGAATTGATTCTCAGTTTTTGTTCAGAGTTCAGTTTTCCTTCCTGAGCAATATGGCAAACTTCATTTAGACACTGCTCGATTGAGGTCATCCAATTTTTTATTTCACTGGTGGCTAAAAATTCGATGGGGTCTACAGCATCCTGGTGTGGTGGTTGAGCGGGCCGACTCCGAGATGTAATGGTGCTTCGATTGAAAGGACTATTTTCGGATGTATTAGACATGTTTTATATCAAATGTTTTTCATTATAATTTGTTATTCGTGAAATCACAACTCAACAGAAATTTTCCAATGGTTTATCTAGGTCACAGTTTTATTGAAAATATTTAAACACTTGTATTGCTGATAGGCACAACTGCTCGATTCGAGCTCCGTAAGCAATCTTTGATGAACAAAAACAAGTTTGAACTATTAGTAAGTTAATAAGTTGGTGCGATTTTCAACAATTACTACAAGGTTAACTATATACTTATTATATATTTACTCTTCGAACTCTGAAAGTGACTTACAATAGTAGTTATTTGAAAATACCACATACAAATACACAAATACGAATATAACTTAGGTATGATGCTCATGTCCATTTATTTTAGATTATTTAGCCTTACGCTACGCTAAAATTATTGAGATTTTTAATTTCAGGCAATCTATGAAAAATCTGCAAATATCAATTTTTTTCTATTAAAAGTATATATTTAGCAAAGTCGTACTTAAAACTACATAAAATAGAACTATTTTTAAGTAAATTAGAAATAAATAAAATTAGAAAAATATATATTTTGGTACTTTTTACCTATATACCATTTATAAACCAGAAACGCATGAAAATGCTCTCAGTTCCGCTGGGATTTCTCGGCGTTCAGACGTGTGCTGTGATGCTCGCTCGCACGATTGATCTCTTTCCCTCGCGCAGCTCTTATGGACTAAGTGGAGTATATCGTGAAAGTTGCTCTACTTAAATATATATTATTTTTATTTAATTGTCATATTAGTTCTAGTTTTTAGTGTGTTAATGTTTATATTAGTATTAGTGTATTAGACTAATTGACTTGGACTTTTATAATTGGTGAATTTCAATTTATTACTAAAAAAAAATAAACGAAAAAGATGGATAGAAAAAAGAAGAAATATCCTTGTGTCAGTAAAAAGAAATGTAACGCAAGAGTTGAAGTGACGAGTGAAGAGTTTTGGGAAACAACAACTGCCCCGTTTGACAAAGTTTTATCACAGTTGTGTGCTACCAGAATTAATTTATTCGCACCTTTAAAGTTCTATGCCGATAAAAGACCCACCGTATATAATAGAAGCAATAGAAAATAAAAAACATAAGAAATTGGAAAAAGTTAACCCCTACACAATATTACACCATTCGAAAAAATTCCCTTGCTTTTAATGATGTAACAAACTAAATAAATAAGTATATGTGTATTCAGTTTTTTTTGTTTGATTATTTTATCATCTGCCGCTACACAGGCGTTATTTGTATGTACATATTGTTTAAAAAATCGAAAATAACGAAAATTTGACGGATTCTTCATACAAAATGGTACTGTATAATATTAATGGTAATGGTACAAAAGGTAGAGGCAAAATTTGTATGAAGATGTAGTTTTTATTTTCCTTCGGTTGTATATATACCCTTTTTAAACCTGCAACCCGTATAAACATTACTAAAAACCACATTTATGAAATATAAAAGGGTAAAAAATTATACTACCACGACAAAAGTAAAAGGATTATTTTTGGAAAAAAATTAATAAACTATATATTTAATGAACTAGAGCAACCTTCACCTGTGATCTCGAACGTATTTATGCACGGGGGAGAGCGCCCCCACTAATGGGCTGGGAAAGTAAAATAGCAAAGCTAGACGGAAACCCTAAGTCTAAATAATTAAACAATAATGCATCAGTCGTTTTGTATAAGTTCCTAGTATTAATATACTGAAATCAATATCTGCTCACTAAAGGGCTCTGTTAATTAGATTCATTATTTAAGCCGGTGCAAAAAGATTGAGACGTCTAATCCAATCAAAACACTAGACAAACTTTAATTAAGTTTTTAAATTAAACTTTTGACGCATCTAAAATATGACTACATACGATTTCCAGGTATGGATAGGTTCTCTAACAACATGCCCCAACGGCACCAAGTTGGAATGCAACAGTCGTGGAACCGACCAAATAGAGATACAAGATGCGTTGGGACAAGCTGTGTTATGGGTGAGCAAAGTGACGCCTAATGGCGTACTTTGCTTCCTTCCCTCCTACCAGCTCATGAATAAGTTAGTGAAACGGTACGTTGAATGAGTTCAAACAATTTTAAAGTGTTTTGTTGTATTTTCATTTTTTTTCTTTCTATAATTTTACCGTGTTTTTAATTCCATTGTTATTTTACTGTATTTGTAATTATTTTAGTAACTATATTTTATAATCAAACAAACGAACCTACCTACTTCAATCCTCCACTATAAAACAAAATTATTCTTTTTGGCTGAAAGCCTTGTAGCTCATGCCACAATGAAAGATAAAAAAGCAAAAAAAAAAACAGATTTGCTGAATATTCTGAGAAGCGTTGTCACTCCTGGGAACTTAAATGGAATAATTCAAAAAATCACGTCGATGCGACGTGAATTTTTGAATTAATGCAAGCATTTCGACTGCTTTATCATCATCATCATTAAAACCTGTTAAAATTCCACGGTTGAAAATAGATATCTCTAATAGAAAGGGTATACGATTTAGTTGCCAAGCTTGGCAGGCGAGTGGCAACTGCAATTTCTTAGTATTTTGAGTTAATATCAGAAAGATGATGCTGCCCATCTCCTGTTAATTTCTCTTCGTCACCACTACACAGCACGCTTTATGTACTGATTTAATTAAGAAATGAACATACGTTTTCAAGATGGCGGGAAACGAGCACTTGGCAACAGCTTAACGATCTGAAACACGTCTTCATGGAAAGCAGAAACGTTAGAGATCACAACGATATTATGGAAGTAAGTGATTGCATATATACGAGGGTAGGTCAAAAAGTTCGCGAAATGAAAGAAAGGAAAAGGGGTGAAATTAAACAAGAAATTATTTTTCCTTTTCGATTTATTCTCCATTTCACCCTAACACACTTCTCAGATCTTTTAAATAACTTATTTATACCTTTGAAAAAAAATATTTTGTCAAGACCCTCAAAATATTTTTTTTATTATTGTCCGTCATCTGACAATTTCTTTCCCCCAGCCTTTTTTTTCATATTTGGGAACAAATAATAATCCGAAGGGGCCACATCTGGACTATAGGGAGGGTGGCTTAAAGTTTCGAAGCCGCAGTTTGTGTAAGGAAGCCATTACAACATGACTCTTGTGAATGGGTGGGTGCGTTATCATGCAAAAGGAGCATATCTCGAGACTACTTCCCTTTTTTTTCTTTAATCGCATCTTTTGATTTTTCTAGTAGCATAGCATAATACATTCCCGTGATATTTACACCTTTATCTTTATGATCTATCAGTAAAATCTCCTCTTAATTCCAAAAAACTGAAGCCTCTAATCTTTCCAGCCGATTGTGACACTTTGAACTTCTTAGGCGTCCAAGGTATCACAATCCTTTTTTATGCAACTGCATGGACTACTGCTTTGACTCAGGTTCGTAGTGATGAACCTAAGTTTGATTCCCAGTCACAACTTGGTTCCTAATTTCGTCCCTATTCTCACTACACTGGTGCAAAAAGTTGCGCAAACATTCGACGCGCTGCTATTTCTGAAGTGGTGTGAGCATTCTTGGCACCGATTGCTTGCTAGACATGTTAAGTTGGTCATGGGAATGTTTAAAAAGTTCGTAGATGACCAGTCCAGTCATTTCTGTGTTCTGGTTTTTCATCAGACGAGCATCTTCACGAATAAGTTTTTCAACTTTTTCGACAGTGTCTGAGGAAGTTGCCTCAATCAGTCGGCCAGAGCTAGACTCTTGCCCTGGAATAACGATGATTTATATCTTTCCATAACGATATGTGGCATTTTTCCTTGCTTAGTGAGGAACCTAATCACGGCACGAAACTCAATTTCTCCATAGTTAGTATTGACTTTCCGATTGACTTTTTTTTATAGGATAGGATGACAAACGAGCACACAGTCCACCTGACGGTAAGTGGTTGCTGTGGCCCATAGACATCTACACATATCCTCGATTACGAATCAAAATGCAGATGCGTTGTCATCCGTGAGGACTTAGGTGGAATGCCTCGTTTCCAGTAAAAAGGGTCTACGGTTCTCTACACTCACCATACAAAACACAGCAGCATTAAGCTACTACTTGACGCTGGTATTCACTGGTACATAGTGACTTGTTTATCCTGTGATATCTCAAAGGTTAATGAACCGATCTGGCTGATGAAACTTGGTATTTATAGTTGTAGTGAGTCACCGAGTAGTAACGGTTAAAAAAATCCAACCTCTCTAACCCCTCTTCTTATGACCCGCCCTCGTTGCTAGTAGAACCTGAGAAACCTAATCTTATAATTATAGTCTGTTTATTTTAGGATGAGTTTAGTGTAACACTTGATGGGATATCGTTATAAGTGCAATTTTATTTGCTTAATTATTTATGTTTGATATTTTAACAATAAGTCGTTAAATGTATAATAATAGTTAACACGATAAAAGTAAAAAGTTATACTGTAATTCAAAAGTATAATTACAGGCTGTGAAACTTGCCACCTCAGTCCGAAAAGTTGCTTAGACATCTGCAGCCTTGTTTGATTAGATGGGTGCAGGTGTCCATGGACGGTAATAGACTCTTACTATTAGGTCTTCTGTTCTACATTAATAAAACGTTCACGTCCCCATTAAAAATTTTTCCTGTATTGCGGAGTTTCACATATATAATTAGAGAAACATCAGGACTCAGAACAATTATTTGTAGGCGTACAATCAAATATTCCATGCCAGATCAGAACCCATGCTTGGTAGCTCCCCGAACAATTTTGCCCTCCTTCGTCTTCACCACTGATTCGTCAATTGTTTGTTAATCGATTAATTGGTATTTTAGGACTATTACAAATATGTTGCGACGAGTAAAGGCGCACTTCTGTTTGCCGTGTACCGCGGTAAGGTGTCAGAAGGAATGGATTTCAAGGACCATCAAGCTAGAGCTGTGATAACTGTATGTATTTGTAACCTTTATAACGTTTGTAAACTGTGTTTATAACCAGGTGGTGGCAGCATTAGTAAATCCATCATTCTGTTTTGTTTCGTAAATGTCGTAATAGGCGACTAAGGATAAATAAACTTTTTATAAAAGGTAAAAGCCACTTCAACCACAGAGATCGTAATAATAAGACAATAGAAGTAGCATAGACACGTGACCTTGTCGCCGCTATTATGTGTTGACTAACATAATTCACCATTTTGTGATTTAGTTGCGCGGTGAATGTCGTGCGTGAATTTATGTTATTATAAATTTATAATGGTGAACTGCAGCATCAACTAATAAAGGAATAACATTTCATCGGTAAGTTGATTATTTACTAATTATCATTGTTTTAACTAACTTACATCTCAGATCAGATGAATACTTTACTATAATATTGACCTTTGTAAACTCTCATTTATTACTTTTCATATTGTTCAATTACCATTGCTGCTTTTGTTCTACGTTGACAAAATCGCTGACACGGGTGGTAATCTCTATACAAATATTCCTAGCCTTATGTCTATGGCCCTCAAAAATCGATGTTGACAGCTATTGGCTACAAATGTATAAATATGTAGCTACGGATTTAGATTGACGTTTGTTTTGACATTTCTGTCCACAGCCCACCACGTGACGCGGCATGCGCCGCGGCCATTACACGACGACAAAGTTAAATATGTAAAAAATTCAAAGGTTATGTACAAAAACTTATATAATAATAAGTTGCACGTGTGTTACTTTTTATTATATATGTGTTACGTACGTATTATTAGTATGTTATGTATATACGTGGTATTCACCAGGATCAAAGAATATATACACTACGCGAAAAGAAACGACACTTAAGCATGTGTACACGTAAAATCGCTTGCGGCTATGTGTGGGTGTCTGGATGTGTGCGGGGGCCTTGAGAGGCGCGCGGGGCGTGGAACAGGCAGTCGCCGACTGCCCTGGCCGAGGGCTAGTAGTAATACCGATTTTCAGTATTAGTTAATATGAATATATTCGTCAAGTGATATAATATTTCAATTAATATATGAATATTACTGATATCTTAATTAACATATTACTATTCCATATATATATACATGCTACGAATTTTTGCAATTGTTAGAAATACTTAATAATGAAAATTATAAAGTAATTGAAAAATTCAAAAATATATATAAGAAAATATTAATTTTTAAAGGATAATAGGTAATACTGATTATTGCGTACTGACATACTAAGTGTTGGTTAATTATTTAAAATTACCATTAACTGTCGTTCATATTTGGATTTGTCGGAAGTTTTAATATTCCTCCTCATTTATAAAGATATTTAATAAAAGTTGATTTAAATTTGAACGTATCTTTCACTACCCAAAAACATAAGTTTACATAGTATATGACATATACCTACTATGTATCTTCTTTGGTAAAAGTTTATAATATTCCATTTCGGTTCGATATCAACCCTAGCGTTACACGCTTCGACTCAGGGTCACCGGCGCTCAAGCTCTCACGTACAGAGAGTGTCACCTCTGTGCCAGGATCTAATATCAAAGTAACTGCCTTACCAGGTTGCATATCTCACGTTGTTTACGGAAGCTGATATCACGACCGGTCAGTAATTTTTCTAATTATTTTTTCTTAATTCATTATTCCTATTATACATCCTATGAAAGCCTGCTGCTGACTATAGGCACCCTCCATAGATTGCCACTTAGGGAAGATTTTGTCATAGTTGCCGCAAGATAGTGTATATGCCTTGGTTTTCAAACTTGGCAGGCGCGTTGATTATCATTTTCCATTAATTTTATTAATATGAACACCAGTAATGTCATATATACATATTGTACATACTGTAGTCTAAAAACTATTACAATGCAAAATATGAAAGTTATGGTGACAATATCAAAGTGTCACTACAAGTATAAACTATTATTTATATTTGTACCTAAATACTGTCCAAAAAAATATAACAAAACAAAAAAAAGGTTTTGTTTCCTTTTATTCTACTGTTAACAAAACTTCATCATCATCATTACAGCCCTTTATAAGTCCATAGCTGAACATTGGCCTCCCCCAAGGAATACCACAAAGCACAGTCCTAAGCCATCAGCATCTATCGACTTCCTGTATATCTTACCAGATTGTCCCTCCATCTAGTGGGGGGCTGCCCTACACTTTGGCTACCGGCACAAGGCTGCCACTTGAGAACCTTTCTTCTTCATTGGTTGTCGGTTCTTCGAGCTACATTGACAGTCCATTGTCACTTCAGATTATTAATCCGCTATGTCACTTACTCTGGTTCTACTGCAAATACCCTCAATTCTAAGTTTATCATGTGGTAAATCCCTGAGCACAGCTCAGTCCATAGCACTCTAAGCGATCTTGAGCTTCCTTATATGTCCAGCAGTAAACCACATCTCAGATCCATATGTCATCACTGTCATCACATACAAGTATAACTTTGTAGTTGCAATTAGTAAACAATGCAATACCTTACATAACCCACTGATTCTGATGCCCATGATGCCATCTAATTTATAAAATATTAAAATGATGGACGTTGACACCTCAAAAATTTTTGAGAGATGGTAAGTGATATTTTTGAGAGAAGGTATATTCAGATATATATTTATTTGACTGAATATTTTGTGTGTTACACTCGATGACTTTTATTAGATACAGATTTAGTTTTTTAAGTAAATGATACTTTATGATTCCTTATATTTACTCGAACACTACACATTGAATAAAACTACTTGTACAGATCTTATCGCGTTAATGTTGATTTTAATTCCAGACGTTTCAGATGCTTTCCAGCACTCATGATTATGGGGGACTGAAGTGATTGGCATCCCAATGTCGGTGTTACCCGGAGTATTTTCAGCTTTTAAAAGCTGGAAAGCACCCGAAATTAAATTGAATTAAATGAAACAGGATAAAAGTAGTTATATTAAATGATACATTTTTAACCTTACACTTACTTGCATAATAATTTTTAGAATGTCTAAAAACATAAGATGGCATTTTGATTTTTAATAAATTGTTTTATTGCACTTGACATAATTAGTAGCAGTGACACTAAATGGTGTGTGACCGACTTGACTAAACACCTGACAATTCTCTTTCAAATGCATGATCATTTAAGGCGCATATTATGAATCTACAAAGTGAGATTTTTTTAGTCAGAATAGAACATTTCCCCATATCTAATTCATGCAAATCTGATGGTTACTGAGGAAAGAGTGCTTATATTTAATCTATTTTCAGTATTACTGATAATAATATATATTTTGATACATGCAGAAATGCCCATGCCATCTACTTCTGGAATTGATGAAAATAAGGGGGATGGACACAATGGATATCAATATAGGGAAATATTCATTAATACTTTTCTCACATATTTTTCTTATATATATTATACAACAAGCAAGTTAAATTAGCCATTTAGATACACCTATCTATATTATCCTGTGTTTATTAATGGACATCTTATGGATTTTCGACAGATTGTAGAAAAATCTAAACTGGCGACCAAAAAAAAGTAGAATGTGAATGCTAGTAGAGTGTTTACAAGCTGATGTGAAGTCAAACAATTGAACTATTTTATTAATTCTATTGTAATTCTCATTGGTTTATGATGGATTTTATTTTATGAATAACTTATATGTGACCATTGAAAAATTAACCCTTAGGTCCTTTTTAGATACAATCACTCCTTTGAAATACTTGCACAATGTTAAACAAAATGCTACTATGTTTATCAATACATTATTACTTTTTTTTACAAATTTTATATTTGTTGCAGGGTAAAAACTGCCTAGGAGCACTCGGCTATTAAATAGCTTAAGCTTTGAATATTGCTGCATATTTGGTAAATGGGGGAGCAACAAGTATAAACCACATATAGATACTACAAGGAGAAAAATTTGAGAAAAATTGTTACATCAATTGAATTGAATATGTGACCTATGTGCAAAGAACCATCAGTTCCTTCGATAAAAAAATTTGATTGTAATTATAGAGGTTTCAATGGCTGTGGCAATATTTAAAAGAAATTGATGTTTTGCGCCTAGAAGGAAAGAATTTGCTTGCACTTGTAAATTTACACTGAAATGTAAAAATAAAAGACTTAATAATTATTTTTTTTTTATAGAATAGGCTAACAAACGAGCACACAGTCCACCTGATGGTAAGTGGTTGCTGCGGCCCATAGACATCTACATCTATCTTCCATTACAAATCAAAATGCAGATGCGTTGTCACCCGTGAGGACTGAGATGGAATGCCTCATTTTCAGTAAAAAGGGTCTCCGGTTCTCTACACTCACCATACGAAATACAGCAGCATTAAGCTACTATTTCACGCTGGTATTCTGTGAGAGCGTGGTCCTTCCCCGGTCGAGCCGACCCATTCGTGCTACAACTATACTACTAATATAACTGCAGCATGGCTCTACCACGTAGAAATTTCCGTATTTTATTTCTTTATATCTAAATAAACGTCAATAATGGTTTAAATTTATTTTTATATTTTATTATTTATGTACGTGTTCACAATGTGACCACGTACATAAATTTAAACCAATAAAGATAAATTTTCAAAGTTCTGGGAGGATTATTTATTTATAGCCACTAGCTACTAGAACAACTAAAAACAAAAGAGCTACTGAAGCAAATAAATTCCTTTGCCTTAGATAAATTTAAAAACCTAAATGTCACTTTCAATTTTTGAGGCTCGCTATAGAGGTATAGACCAATTTTTAACTATGGAAGATTGTCGTCTGTACATTAGTACTGGTAGTGGGAACTTATATCATAGTGCATTGTGCGTGTTTATAACACGGTAAGATGTGGCGACATCGGTTTTGGAAGTAATCGAGCGCTAATTCATTTCTATTGTCTTATTATTACTATTTCTGTGACTTTAACAGAAATAAAAGGAATAAAATAATTTCCCCCGTATCGGGAAGATGCTGGAATGTATTTTTTTTATGGAAAAGACGAAACGTAAAATGTGGGTGTCGTTGTTATCAACTTGTAGATCAACTTATCTTACCCGATACGGAACATTAATGTAAAATAATTAAACCGTTGGTCAACACATTTACTTTTATTTCTAATGAATAACTGTGATTAAAATATAAGCAGCAGGTAAGCGAAATTAATAACGGCCACCCACTACATGGAGTGTCGCCCTAATATGAGATACAGGAAGTCGATGTTCTATGACGCTGATTATCGCTTATTTAAAAGTTAGCAGTCGCTAACATGAATTATCTCCATACCTGTCTCTTTCTATTGTCATTTAATGAAAAGAGAGAGACACTTTAAGCATTTCTTAAATTGACGTCGATTTTTATCAGTAACAGCCTTAATTTCACATTAGGTAGGTGTTCCTTACCCGAACACCTTCGATATGGCTGTGAAAGAGAAGATGAAATACAACGACAAATACGCGGCGGAGAGGAAGTTACTGTCCAGTAGCGAGTGGCTTCTGGTGCAAGCTTACAGGTACCGTTAAAACGACACATTTTGTTTACTTGTTGGTCTAAAACTGCATGGAAAACGAAATTTGACGTATTTTCGAAAACGAATACAGGGTTATTTTGCAATATAAGCCCAAAGAATCATGTCCTGTCTTGACCTGAAAAATTTCTATCGCATCTGGTGATGTAAAATATGTTATAAAATTGCATTTTTTTTCTTTTCAATTTTTTTCAATTTTGGTAGCTTTTATCGCGGGCTTTGAGCGCGGCGACCGAAACAAGAAATTCCGTAACAAAAATAAACCTAAGACCCGAAAACATAACATCGTCTAACGTCGTTTAAGTTCGGCAGACTTCGGCACGGTGTTTGTGTGCGTGCCATTAGACGTGCTATAGACCAGTTGTATGTTTTTTAAGATAACAAAAATATTTTAAACAATAATAGAGTTTATTGCAAGAAGCATATTCTTTGGATTTATATGAGTCGTCGTCATGCTAGCAACTTTCGTTAATTTAGAGTATTTAATAAACACAGACTTTATACTTAAATATATTTTTTTAAATTTATATATTATTTTTGATGGCACGTTTGGCGTAGTGGCTGAACCACCCGAATGCAGGATCATGGGTCATGATGATGATGTAATGACCTGTTCTTTCGAAGAACGCGGGCACCATCTCTATTCCCACGCTTCGACCTCTCTTCACTTTAGTTGGCAACTCCTCGGAAAGAAACACTCAGACAGCAGACTGTCTCTTAGTTTCTTATTTTGTCACATTTGAGTCACCTCCGTTAAATCTTTGAAGCATTTCACGACACCAATCAACTAGACGGAGTTTTTGCGACTCTGTCAAATTATGAGGTATCCACCGGGCACAAAGCTTCCTGACCGCTAAATGTTCGTGGAGGATTTTGTGCACTTGACTCATACCGATGCCTAAGCTTGTCCAAATCTGCTGATAAGTCACTCTTTTGTCAGTCTCTATCATACGCCGCACAACTCTGATGTTATCTTCAATTGTCGCCGTAGAAGGCCGTCCCTCACGCAGATCGTCGGTGAGATTAGTGCGACCACGTTTAAACTCATTATACCAGTTGTAAACAGTGGCACGAAATGGGGCTTCATCGCGAAAGGCAGATCTAAATCTATCATAACTTTCTTGTTGACTTAAATAACATCTAAAGTCATAAAAAATCATTGTAAGAATTTTTTTTCGCGTTGAATTCATGCTGTCGTGACACAGACAATTTTCAATTTGCCGCCAAATCGTAAACAAATAACAAATTAATAAAATACATACACAATAATATTAGCAAAGAGTTCCATTTCAAAATTTGAACTTATTTTTTTATTATATCGTTTACAAGTGGCCAGTTCTAAAAACTTTCAGTGTCGCCTTCGTATCTACATAATCGACTACTTAAAGGTTCTACTGACCGCATGGTGGACCGCATTTTGAAATAATGATTAAATACTTAGTTTGTAGATAAAACACAGGCTAAAATGATTTGAGTGATAACTCTTTGTTTATGGTGCGTGAACATATGTTTTGATCAAATAATTTTTGCATTAAAAAATTATTGAGTAACCATCATACACAATACCTTATTAATTTATTATTATTTTAAAGATTTATTACCTATATATTTAGCAAATTTTTAATATTCATCATAAGAAATATAATATTTTATATTGATAGTGATAAAAAAGTTGATTGATAATGGGTGCCTATGACTGTACCGCTAGTACAAATTGTTTTTAGTCCATTTATGGCAACCTAGTGGACTAATCAAGGCAACAATGGTCTACAGAAGGCAGGTGCCAACAATTTTACAGGTTTTGTAATAAAAATTGTTATAATAACATGCTATTGAGTTAGTAGATGGTATCCCTTAGAGATTTACATCTTTTGGAATTTCTGAATAAATTAAATTACGAAGACACAGATAAGTTGTTGGAAATTCTAAAATAGTCTGTAATAATTGTAGTTAACAAATAATTGTCATTTAGTTGTTTAATATATAATATAATATAGTTTAATTATTAAAATTATCTAGTGTCCTACATCATTAGTTAGCAGCAGGTAGCTAATATTATAAACTTGCCTTTTCTTTTGTAGATTCTACATTATTAAGCTAAACATAGTATTAATTTTATTATAGCATTTTATTTTTATTAGACTTATAAGCTGTTATTTTACGTTGGTATTCTGTGAGATCGTGATCCTTCCCCGGTCGAGCCGACCCCTTCGTGCTATATATATATATATATATATATATATATATATATATATATATATATATATATATAATATAGCTTCTGTGGATCTACCACGTGGACTTATACGTGCAATGACAGTAACGTTTCGCTGCACTACAGGGCACTGAACCAAGCAGTGGGGCGGTGCGTGCGGCACCGCGGCGACTGGGGCGCCGTGCTGCTGGTGGACGCGCGCTTCGCCGCCGCGCACTACACGCAGCACCTCTCCAAGTGGGTGCGCAGCTTCGTAAGTACACCGCGCTTGTTGACGCACTACGCGCAGCACCTCTCCAAGTGGGTGCGCAGCTTCGTAAGTACACCGCGCTTGTTGACGCACTACACGCAGCACCTCTCTAAGTGGGTGCGCAGCTTCGTAAGTACACCGCGCTTGTTGACGCACTACACGCAGCACCTCTCCAAGTGGGTGCGCAGCTTCGTAAGTACACCGCGTTTGTTGACGCACTACGCACAGCACCTCTCCAAGAGGGTGCGCAGCTTCGCAAGTACACCGCGCTTGTTGACGCACTACACACAGCACCTCTCCAAGTGGGTGCGCAGCTTCGTAAGTGCACCGCGCTTGTTGACGCACTACACACAGCACCTCTCCAAGTGGGTGTGCAGCTTCGTAAGTACACCGCGCTTGTTAACGCACTACACACAGCTCCTCTCCATGTGGGTGCGCAGCTTCGTCAGTACACCGCGCTTGTTGACACACTACACACAGCACCTCCACGCGCTTGTTGACGCACTACACGCAGCACCTCTCCAAGTGGGTGCGCAGCTTCTTAAGTACACCGCGCTTGTTGACGCACTACATACAGCACCTCTCCAAGTGAGTGCGCAGCTTCGTAAGTATACCGCGCTTGTTGACGCACGACACACAGCACCTCTCCAAGTGGGTGCGCAGCTTCGTAAGTGTACCGCGCTTGTTTACGCACTACACACAGCACCTCTCCAAGTGGGTGCGCAGCTTCGTAATTACACCGCGCTTGTTGACGCACTACACACAGCACCTCCAAGTGGGTGCGCAGCTTCGTAAGTACAGCGCGCTTGTTGACGCACTACACACAGCACCTCTCCAAGAGGGTGCGCAGCTTCGTAAGTACACCGCGCTTGTTGACGCACTACACGCAGCACCTCTCCAAATGGGTGCGCAGCTTCGTAAGTACACCGCACTTGTTGACGCACTAGACACACAGCACCTTTCCAAGAGCGTGCGCAGCTTCGTAAGTACACCGCGCTTGTTGACGCACTACACGCAGCACCTCTCCAAGTGGGTGCGCAGCTGCGTAAGTACACCGCGCTTGTTGCCGCACTACACACAGCACCTCACCAAGTGGGTGCGCAGCTTCGTAAGTACACCGCGCTTGTTGACGCACTACACGCAGCACCTCTCCAAGTGGGTATGCAGCTTCGTAAGTACACCGCGCTTGTTGACGCACTACACGCAGCATCTCTCCAAGTGGGTGCGAAGCTTCGTAAGTACACCGCGCTTGTTGACGCACTACACACAACACCTCACCAAGTGGGTGCGCAGCTTCGTAAGTACACCGCGCTTGTTGACGCACTACGCACAGCTCCTCTCCAAGTGGTTGCGCAGCTTCGTAAGTACACCGCACTTTTTTTATAGGAGAGTGGGCAAACAAGCATACGGCTCAACTGGTGGTAAGTGATTACCGCCGCCCATGAACAGCTGCAACACCAGGGGGGATTGCAGATGCGTTGCTGGCCTTTTAAAAGGAATAGGCTCTTTTCTTGAAGATCCCTAAATCGTATCGGTCCGGAAAAACCTCCAAACCACCTCTGGTGGTAGTTAATTCCACAAGGAAGTTGGGCGAGGAAGAAAACTTCTTTTAAATCGCTTAGTTGTCCACAACTAAGCGATTTAAAAGAAGTAAACTTTTGAAACGTACAGAGGTGGACCGTCATCCAGATGGTATGGATGGTATCGCGAGTTTTGTCGCAATGTGTGATAGTTAAACTGTTTGGCTGGAATTAGTCCGAACAATTCCTCAGAACACGCCCCGTGGTAGATGCGATAAAATACACAAAGAGATGCAACATCTCTTCGAAGTGCCAGGGAGTCAAGCCGATCGGAAAGAGCTCGATCGCCGACGATTCCAACTGTTCTGCGCTGGATGCGATCAAATGGAAGGAGCTAGCACTGGAGAGCCCTGGCCCGGAGATGGGAACAGTATTCCATGTGCGACCGAACCTGCGCCTTGTAAAGTTGCAGGCGCTGAGCCAGCATGAAATACTGTCCCGCTCTGCTGAGCACGCAAAGCTTTTTTGAGGCCAATTTGGCCTTCTGTTACAAGTGACCACGAAACTGCACGTCAATCGATATGTCGACGCCAAGGATTCCGATACTGGCTGCGGCAACAAGGGGAGTGCCTTGAAACTGAGGAGATACGACGAAGGGGTTCTTTTGAGCGGTAAAAGCGCAAACTTGTGTCTTCTAGGGATTAAACTGGACTAGATTTAGTCGCCCCCCGTTCCGAGATTTTGTTCAACAAAGTCTCGACTTCAGACACAAGTTTGTCCCGCTACTCGGCGACTTTTTCCCGAGAAATATGGGCACGGCTGGTGTTTAAAGCATCACCAGTGCTGTCGTCTACATAGCAATGAATGCTACCGATTCGCAACATGTCATTGATATGCAGAAGAAACAGCGTTGGTGATAACATGCAGTCTTGTGGAACACCAGCGTTAATGGGCCTGTAATCGGAGCATGCAACGTCTACTACGACCTTGATTCTCCGATCAGCAAGTAAACTGATGATCCAATTGCACCATTTCTCGGGAAGCCCATAGGAAGGAAGCTTCGTAAGAAGTGCTCGCTGCCAAACCCGATCGAAGGCCTTCGCTATGTCCAAACTAACGGCCAACGCCTCCCTCTTGGACTCTTCTGCCTTCGCCCATTTATGAGTTAGGTAACCTAGAATATCACCAGCCGGGCGACTGCGACGGAAACCGTACTGGCGATCACTAATCAGCTGGTGATCCTCAAGGTATCGCGTGAGCTGGCTGTTGATTCCATTATTTTAGAGAACAAGGTGGTGATGGCGATAGGCCTATAGTTGGACGGGTCAGAACGGTTGGTTACCTTTTATAGGGAACGGGTGCACGAAGGCTGTCTTCCATGATTTCGGGACTACGCCTAGGGAGTAGGAGTACCGGAAAAGGCGCACAATAGGAGGGACGCCATCAGACCCACTCGACTTGTTGATGTCCAGGGAGAGGAGTGCTCTTCGCACCGAGCGTTGGGTAAACAGCACAACCTGTATGAAGCACTCGCACTGCGGGATGGTCGGCGGTGGATGGGCGGCCGTCATCAAAAGTCGATTTGGACGCAAATAGAGAGCCCAGTAGATCGGCTTTGTCTTTTGCGACATGGGCCAGTGAGTCATCCTCCCTGTGCAGAGATGGAAGAGATGGCTGGCAGAAGTTTCCTTGGACAGGATTGGCGAGAGACCAGAATTCACGTGTTCCCAAAGGAAGACGAACAAGTCTCTCACCAATTCTGCCGATGTACTCTGACTTTTTGACAATGACACTTTTGAAGGATCTGGAAGCAGAATTATACTTCTTTTTGAAAGAGCGCTGGTATTTACATCCCGAGTTGTCGATGCGCGAGCTCAGTCCTAGTAACACTCGTGCTTATGATGTAATGCAATTTTGCAGGAGCGACGAAACCAAGGCTATATTTTGCCTCCGATAGGTACCACAGATGATGGAATAAATAGTTAGGAAGGTACATGATCTTCCACATCTGGGATCCGCGTAGTTGTGTCAAACCAGGAGTACCAGACCATATGCCAAAACAAAGTCATAAACAGATCTACCCGCAACAAGAACCAAGTCATTCAGCATGGTGGGCGTTAAAATCGCCAAGTATCACGATCTCTGCGGATGGAACCTGTTGTAACACGGAGTCTGCAGTCATGGACGTGGGCGATCAGTCGGTCTGTGATCGGCATTACCGCTATGGGACCTACATAGGCACCCGTAGATGGTCGTCACTGTCTACGCGTAGGACGGATAGCGTGGCAGGGGGCACCTTTGACTTATTACTCGCTTTGCCCCGAGTAGGTTTAGTCTCGAGCGGAATTTCGCCCCCCCCCACCCTCTCCCTATCAGCGTGGATGCTCAGCGAGGGATCCTCCGTCACCTGGATGCTGGTACTCTCCTGGGGTAGTGTTATATTTAACTCCGCAACCATGTTAAGAGGGGGAAATTGGGCCTCCGGCCACCTGCACTCACCAGACGAAACGCGGAAGCAGAGCTTCCACTTCACGCCGGTATTCTGTGAGGTCATGGTACCACCCCGGTTTGAGCCGGCCCATACGTGCAACAGCAAAGGCTGCTGCGTAGCTCTACCACTGTTGACGCACTACACGCAGTACCTCTCCAAGTGGGTGCGCCGAGTACAGTACACCAGTGAATCATATGGGGATTTTTTCCATAGTTGTGACGCTTGGCAGGCAGGTTGGAAACCGCAATTTTCTATTTTGTACTTGTTATTAGGAATATGCTGCTGGTTCGCTTCCCTCCGTCGCCTCTTACGACACCCGCTGGACGATTTAGGACAGTGGATATTTTACACCACCTCTAGTACAGAATTGTTTTCAAATAAATATAAACTTACTTATTTTGTATTCACATGAGAAAATAATGAACAACTCGCAACGATTATAAGGTAAGGATTATACTGTCAGAATGTATGCGCAAACATCATCCGACGTGACCGAAGAGAGATCAGGCCCAGCAACATCTGCTTTACGTGCTGTTCTAGGTGTCACCAAACAAACACTGCTAACTTCCTGACTCCGGAGACTACAACCGAGAATTTCTGGACTGAAAATTCTTATAACTGATTTTGGCTCAACCCGTGATTTGATTTACTCTTATTCACGGTACGGGTTTTATTACTGCAATCTACTGCTACACGGTACGGGGTAAAGCGGGACGCCGACTGCAGTCCCGAAGCATTCGGGCCCCTGCTATTGGAATGAGATCGCTAAACTAAAGGGGTAAAGGGTAGGGGAGGGATTCGATTTGATTCAAGGACTCATCAGAAGGAGGTAAGAATATCATCTTGGGATCACATACGGTTGTGTCAAAATCCATCTCGTTGAAATCTCACGGAAATATAGAGTTCGCTTACGTAGGACATTTAAATCATTAATTCCTTTCCTGAATTATAATTACATTATTGTTAGGCAAATTAGTAAAATTGTGCATGGCCTATAAACGTCATTCTTTATATTTTCAGTTGGGAAATAATCATCATACGTTCGAGAGTCTAGTCAACAGTCCCAACAGTCTGGAGTCATTCATGCAGAACATGACCATCAGGGAGAACGAGGACGTGTAATGGAACTAAAGCTTCAATCAGTGCTTTGTGTGAACTGATATCTCAGCGGTTTTATATTTTTTATAATTTTACTATTAAGTGTGATAAAAATCCATATTTTAATGTAGGTTTTGTTAAATAAATATTTTTATACAAACGCATTTTTCTATTTCAAGGATTGAGTACAGAAGTTATAACGGTGTAAAAATCGAAAAAAGCTTTTACTCGTAATGCATCTATAACCTTTATTGATCCCAATGATATTACCGTTCATTCGATGATGTTAAAAGTTTAGAAAACCAATTGTAGTATTACGTACATGCTATATAATTTCATTACACTTTTTTTGTTTACATAGGTAACATTAAGAACATTATATTAATAAAAAAAACTTAAAATTAAAATTATCATTGAGTGTTATTTTATCGTTACCGTTACTTGGTAAACTATTTACTAATCTGTGCCGTTACAGACTATTAAAGTCCACTGCTGGCAGGCCTTCCTTTAGATTAACTCATATGGGGGGGGGGGGGGATATTGGCCATAGTTTAGGCTAAGATCTTTCCACTGGATTACACAACACGTTGTCGAAAGTATTAAATTTTGTCGCTATATGAAAGAAGACGCATAGCGAATCTATAGTTTCTAATTAATATAGTAAATAGCACGATCAACTGTCCTTAACTGTCAGCCCCGGATCTAGGGGGGGGCAAACCAGGGCAGTAGCCCCGGGCGGCGGTTCTAGGGGACGCCAAAATTATGATATAATTTGAATTAAAAAAAACTTGCTCTACAAAGCGTCTAGTATCCAACGCACTTTGTTTTATTAATTATTCACTTAATGTTAAAACGCCTCGTTAGTTTTTGAACACATCCTAAGGGTTCAATCCGAAAAGTGCTGCCAGCAGCTGCAGCGTAGTAGACTGTTAACAAAATCTAATGGCGGAAATTTTAATGTAAATGATTACAATCCTACTTTTAAAAATACCATCTTGACCACATAAAAAAGGACAAGTATCCTGATGTAGAAAACGATACAAAATGAAATTATCGCTATAATGCCAAACAAAGTTCGAAATACCATTACCAATGACATCAAGGAAGCAAACTATTTCATCATCATGTTTTAAGATGTATCTCACACGGAGCAAATGCGCCAGGTTGATTCAATTTATAAAAAATAACGGTATCAGGATGTGAAATAAATGAAAACTTTATTGATGTTATTGAAGTTGATAGAAATACTGGAGAATAAATTAAACAGCGAATTCTAGAGAAACTAGAAGCTAATGGTTTAGATGTGCAAAAATTTCGTAGACATCTTACGACAATGAATCTAATATGATAGGCATATATAGAGGAGTCCAATCTCGAGTATTAGATACAAATAAATGAGCTGACAAAGTTTGAACTATGTTTAGCACACTGTTTAAATATTGTGTGTGTGCATTCAGAGTCATCTTGTCCAAAAGCAGTTAGCCTATTGGGCTTGTACAAAAACTTTATTGTTTCTTTGTTGGATCCACCACATGGTGGAAAAAATGCAAAAGTGTACAAAAACATACTTAAAAGGAAGTTGTCAAACCTGATGGTCGGCTAAAACCGGGCTGTTACTGCTCTATTAATTTACCGCAAATTGTCAAAGCTTTAGTAGATATGGAAGATTCTTCTTTAGTCACAGAATCCAAGCAAGAAGCTGATTTTCACTACTTGCGGTGATGGATTTTAAATTTATCCTCAACTCAACAATTTGGGATAATATACTTAGAGAAATTATATAAGAGTGAACGTTGAAATACAAAAAAGAGGATATTATCATTTCGCATTCTGTGCCGATAATGCAAGTTCTTGTTAAGATCTTACAAGGAATGAGAGAAAAACTAATAGAACATTGGTTCAGAGAAGATGCACCTGAATTAGAAAAGTTAGAAATCAAGCCAGTCCTTAAAATTAAACAAATTTTCGAAAAGAAAAGGCCTCACGATGAAACCTGCGAGAACGCATCAAGAACGCTAGATCCAAATGGTTTATTTTCCAAAGATATTAAAGTAGTGTTTGACAAATAACTTAGTTTTTAACAGAAATTAAAACAAGGGTAGAAAACGCAAAGTCTACATGAAAATTTCGCCTTCCTTAGTGGCCACGCGTTTTAAAATAGATCGACTGAGAACCTACGAAAAAATGGAGCCAATCTAGCTGAAAGTATTCGAAAGACTTGAATCCAGTTGTTTTTATTCCTTTGCCTTGCCGTTTTTAAAGAGCTAGTAACCGAAATTTATAGAAAATCAAGTGCATTCGACCTGTTACAACATCTGTGTAAGCATCACTTTAAGAATATACTGCAAATTATCTACATCTGCAAGCTGTAAGCGAAGCTTCAGCAAACTACAAATTATTAAAATCTATCTGCATTCAACAACGAGTCAGGAACGTCTATCTGGCCTCGCAATCCTAGCCATTGAAAATGAAACTGACTGAGACAGACTTTGATGAGCAAATAGATTCATTCGCAGAAAAAAAGCACGTCGTTTGTAGCTGTTGCAAGATTAAAGAGAAAAAATACTGAGGCTTAAAGATCCTAAATGTTTTGATTATCTGTTTTATTTCCTGGTTATATGTTTTCTATATATAACTTTATGTTACAAATGAAAAAGTTATTAGCTAAAAAGTAATAGTGAGTGCAAATTTATTAAAGGTTTCTTACTGTTCCAATCACAAAAAATGTCGCCCATTATGTATTTATGAGTTTTTTTAACAAGCTATTTAAAACGCCGGAGAGAGGAAGCGCCACTATCAAGTTTCAAAAAAACCGTAGATCCGAGACTGCTAACTGTTGGAGCAAATACGTTTACAAGTTCCATACGCGTCTTCAAGCGAGTCGTGCAAACTATATGTGCTAGGAGTAAATGCAAACTACAGGCAAAATTCTTATTTAATAAGAGTGAGCAAGTGTTTCAATGACGTGGCGAAAACACACAATGTAGACTTACTTTACACCGCTACCTTAACTTAAGCGTCTACTGAGTAATAAGTTTTTCGTTTACTGATGTGTATTACTTATACCATGCATTGTTATTTCTTTCATTTTACTTCTGAAATCATCTGTTATTGTGTAATTGAGTCTACGTCTACGTTACTTGTGCAATTTTTCTCTGTACTTCATTTATAAGTGGGGACTTTTAATTGGTGTTATTTTTTATTATGCTTACATTTATAGCTAGCTGTAAGTTCTCCTAAAACCATAATAAATAGATAAATAGTTGACAAGCGGGTTGGCACTTGGCAGGCGCAGTTTTTTTTTGTTGTTATTAAGACGATGCGGCTACCAATCACTTGACTTGTTGCCTCTTGCTACACCCACGGGATGATATTATGAGGTAGTGTATATTCTTACATTGCCACTGCACAGCAAATATATCAAATTACGTCCACTCAAAAATAAAATTAGTGTTGGTAATTTCCTGTACATATTGCAAAATTTATAAATTACGTAATATTATTTAAAACGAGGAAGTTTAATTTGATATAAATGCAATACGTAATGCATGGACTTTGAATAGGCTGTAACGCGAACAGGAACGGTTTGTAGTTATTAAAAATTAATTCATAATTAAAGTGTATGACTTAAACTGTACTTGGGGTAAAAAGTCGGAAGAACAAATAAAAGTGAATTCCGATTATCCACTCCGTCTGCGATAGATAGGTGAACACATTGCGGACAAACGGAACAACCCACCCTAACAATTATTGTGTAACCCCTACTTTCTACGTGTAGGAAATAGGAATAACCGTAAATGACGTCATTGTTACTATGAGTTTGTTATTAAATTGTGCAGTTTTTAAATAGTAATTACCTGACCTCTAAAGCTGCGCTTGAGGAACACTATTACAAATAAAGTATACATCTAATTATCTGGCCTTGCATCGAGAGAAGGACGCTCTTATCTACATGGCTTAATATTCAGGCGTAAAGCTTTTCAGAAAATATAATTAGTGTAATAACAAATTAGACCAAAGTCACAGCCTATATAGATAGGTACGTTCGACTATTGCTGGAAACAGTCCTCTTCTCATATCGCAGAGAGCATTATAGAGCAACAATAGTCGGCCACTCTTCCTCTAGTGCGTATTCGGACTTCACGTCTTCGAAATATTTTTTATATTCAGACCTGTAGGTTTTCTCAAGATATTTCCACTCACCGCCGAGCACGTAAATCTGCACTTAAAATTGCAATTTACAATTTATTGGCGCCGGCAATGTTCGAACCTGAGACAGCACTAGTCTGAAATTTACGGCGGGCGCTTACATCTCCTTCAGCTACCACGGCTTCTTTTAAATGAGCTATATACATATTTGATTTGTAAGACGTTGGCAGTTTTAGCTTGCAAACGTGATCAAAAATGTAAAATCAGCAAAACGTTTTGACCGCTTCGTAGCGCAGTCGCTAAACCTTTGATGGCGACGCTACAAACCGCAAATTCGAGTTCCGGGCGTACCGAGCGGGTGGTTGGCGCACTTAACATTTCCGCGCACACCAGATCAGCCCGGTGTATCGTGTGATAGCAATACGTCGGTTCAAAACCTTAGAGTATTTATAAGCAAACTAGAAAGCGCGCGTTAGCGAGTCAGAACAGTAAGCACGGCTGTAAATAGTCTCGATGTGGCAATGTTATTAGCAGGGGGTTACAGTTCCATAGTAAGGAATGTATAGTACGGGTCATAATTTCCTCAGTTTATGTAATATTAGTTAGTTAAATACTCACTAGATGGCAGAATTTAAGAAATGAAGTAGTGATCCATGTTACGCTTTATATTTCAATTGCATTTTAAAACACGTAATATCTCTATCATTCCCCATAAAAAAATTTTAATCTTATAAATTTTGTAATATATAAGTGTAGTGTTTGCAATAATACACATTCGTTAGCGAGACAACAACTGGTTTATTCTTCTAATAACCACCTACGTATACAATAACACAAATACCCACAACATCTCCCTGCACTGTTTAAACGTTGAA